CTGGGTAAGGGAGGTGCCAGGCTTTGGGAAGGAGGTGCCAGGCTCTGGCAGGGTCCTAGAGCCCTTCCAGCTTCTTCACAAAACTGGGCAAGCATTTCTAGGCTTTAGGAACGAGGCATGAAGGTGCTCCCTTGGCGCTGGGGAACCGGTCATGTTGCCCTAAATCCACTTCTGGTAAGCAGGGAACTGAGGCCCCCAGTCCTGCCAGACGTTCAGCAATCTCACAAACAGCATGGTATTTTAAAAACAGGAGCTGGGGATTCAGGCCACCTAGATAACCCTGCACTCTAGCAGCAGACCTGCAAGGCCCTGCAAAGTTCCTTGGGGCTTAAGGAAATGCACTCTGCTCATTCTCACTGACATGTTTGCTGGCCAAGCATTTACCATCAAAACAGCTTCCAAAGTCCAAGTGCAGGATCAAATTGAGCCCGGCTGCCCACAAGCCCTCAAGGATAAGCCTGAGCAACAAATCTTTCCTTTCACAGCCGCCTCTGACAAAGCTGTGGCCCAACCCTAGATACGCAACAGCGGATCAAACTCCCTTGTGTGTCAACGTGGTCCACAGGGAAGCCCTTGTTTACAGTTCTCTTGACTACTGATCATTCCCCCATCATCATCAAGCAAACACAATTTTACTTGTAAGAGCCAATTGACAGAGCAGAGCGACTTCGGAGACCTTGTTGCAAGGCGGATGCTATTCTGACGGGAGCAAAGAGATATCGCATAAAGAAGATGGAAGGCACGGCCACCCACCCTCGAATGCTCCTTGGCCATTCCTTCAGTCGAAAAGAATTGCAGGATTGTAGCTCACACCTGCACCATACATTTAAAGCACCTTTATGCCACTTTCACAGTCATGACTTCCTTCAAAGTTTATCCTGGAAAGTGTAGTTTGTTAAGAGTGCTGATAGTGGTTAAGAGACCCCTCACAGAGCGACAACACCCAGCTCCCTTAACAAACTACAGTTCCCATAATTCTTTGGGGGAAAGCGCTGTTAAGTGTATGCTGTGGACGTTCTCAGGGAGCCTGCCACTGACTGCAAACTACGCAACGGGGCAAACAGCAAGACCTCTTTATTCTGCCAAGCTTTCAATGCAGATTAAACCATTGGGCCAGGGTTTCCAGCTGATTGATTTACCCTGCTCTTGACTAATATAATTTGAAATTTGGACTGTTTTCCTGTTGTTGTTGTTGTTGTTGTTGTTGTTTGCAAGCTGGCTTGAGTTTGCTTTACCAAAAGAAAAAGCACAGTGTGGATTTCTAAACACATACACACACATAACCTAAATGCAGAGTCTGCATTTAAAACTGGAATGTTACTGTGCGATACAGAAAGCATGAGAAAAGGGACCCCATTCTAAAGCTGTAGAGTGTGTATGTTATCTATCCATGTAGGTTTGTTCCATGCTTTACAGCAGAGGTGGCAAACCTGTGGACCTGCTAGAAGCTGCCGGGACTACAACTCCCATTGTCCCTGACTGTTTGCATTGCTGGCTATGGCTGGTAGGAGTTGCAATTCCACCACTTCTGAAGAGTTTAACAAGGATGCATTGGGAGATATTTAATCAAAAAGTTGGCATAGCATAAGGAAAGGCTGCTGGGTCAGGCTTGTCTAGTGACCAGCATCCTGTTCTCAGCAGCCAAGCAGAAGCCTGTGGGAAACCAGCAAGACCTAAACACAAGAGACCTTCCCCCTCCTGCCGTTTCCAGCAAGTGATATTCAGAATAATGACTAGTAGCCTTCTCCTCCACAAAGCTGCCTAATCCTCTTTTAAAGCCATGGCTGTCCTGCGAGGGTGAGTTCCACAATTTCACTGTTTGCTGTGTTTTACAAACTTCTATCATGTCACCTAATTTTGTCTTTTCTCTAAACTAAAAAAATCCCCGAAGCTACAACCTTTCTGCATAAAGGAGTTCCGCCCTTCCCTTCATCATCTTGGTTGCCCTTTTCTGAATCTCAGAATGAATAAATGAATTTCCTAAAAAGCAGGAGGCTAACAAATAACTTTCAAGAGGTACCGTATTTTTAAAAAATGAAAAATGAAACCAGCTGAAAATTACTGAGCTCCTCCTGGTAGAGGATTTGTAGATACCTGAATTCTTTCTGCTAGGTTTGCTTTTCGAAAGGCGTAACAAACAAGAAGGAAAGTCTTTAAGATCTACCTACCATCCAGTGTAGGTTAAGGAGGGGTCTCCTGTTTGGACACTCGGCCAAGGAAGGGGACTAGAGCGCGGTGATGCTCAAAGGAACCGCTTGCCACTAAATGCAACAACATCGGAGCAGAATGAGAGGCCCCACCCGAAACATCTTAACTCCCCACAAGGGATAGAAACAGCTAACAAAACACAAGCCCCAGGAGAGGCCGACTTAGCAACACGGTTGTAGCTAACACTGCATCCCTTTTATGAACGGCTGGAAGTAGCAGCTGTCAGAGTTCAGTCTGGAGGGTCAAATGTTAGCTCTAATGTTGTGCCTCCCTTATTCGGAAATGAAGATTTAGAAACGCACACCCACGTTTTGAAAGCAAGGGGAAATTGATTCCTTTTTAAAAGGGGGGGTCAAAATTTTGTAATAAGTTTTTATTGGTTTTACAATTTAATTTTACATTCACACATAAAATAGAATCAAAAAGTGTAGAATTCTCGGACTTCCTTCCCTCCCCCCCGTGGAGTCCGCTAATAACCATTTTCCACTGCATAGCATATCGTCCTCTATCCTTAAAACTCTGTTTAGAAGAAGTCAAAATTTGTGCAGTCTTTCAGGCAAATTGAGAATTGTCTGCAATATACCACATCGGCATGTATGCACGTATATAATACATAATCATATGATGTGGTACATATAGCACGCATCAAATCAAAAGGCTTTTTTATTTTTTAAAAAAACGGACTGTGCTTATAATTTATTATTTACAGCCTTATGCTAGCACTGACTTATCTCTATAAAGTTAGTAACAAAATATATAGGCCAATGTTATCTTGAACTTTGTTGCACCAGGCTCTCCCCCCCCAAAAAAAAAAACAAATTGTGTTGTCTTCTTTCTTTCTTTTAATGATTTGTTTTGGGGGACAGAGCACTTTTAATACATTTTAATTGTGCAAACCTAAATTTCATGGTATGGACTTCAATCCCTTCCACAAACTAGTGACCATAGAATCATAGAATCATAGAGTTGGAATAGACCACAACGGCCATCGAGTCCAATCCCCTGCCAAGCAGGAAACACCATCAGAGCACTCCAGTGTGGCAGAGAGCCAGTGTGGTGTAGTGGTTAAGAGCGGTAGTCTCGTAATCTGGGGAACCGGGTTCGCGTCTCCGCTCCTCCACATGCAGCTGCTGGGTGACCTTGGGCTAGTCACGCTTCTTTGAAGTCTCTCAGCCCCACTCACCTCACAGAGTGTTTGTTGTGGGGGAGGAAGGGAAAGGAGAATGTCAACCGCTTTGAGACTCCTTAAAGGGAGTGAAAGGCGGGATATCAAATCCAAACTCCTTCTTCTTCTCCTGACATATGGTTGTCAAGCCTCTGCTTAAAGACCTCCAAAGAAGGAGACTCCACCACACTCCTTGGCAGCAAATTCCACTGTCGAACAGCTCTTACTGTCAGGAAGTTCTTCCTAATGTTTAGGTGGAATCTTTTTTCTTGTATTTTGGATCCATTGCTCCGTGTCCGCTTCTCTGGAGCAGCAGAAAACAACCTTTCTCCCTCCTCTGTATGACATCCTTTTATATATTTGAACATGGCTATCATATCACCCCTTAACCTCCTCTTCTCCAGTGGGAGGGAACCCGTGTATCTATGAAAATAAAGAACTAGTAGTGTTTTGTTATTTTTTAGAAAGGCACAGGTTGTGTTCCCACTCCCATTTCCTGTACCCTCACTCCCTTTACAGTGCTGGGTTTCTAACCCGTGTTCACAGTGTTATCCAAAATGCATATGTATCCAATATGTATAGTATTGTCTGAGGTGTTGTTTCTCAAACCAGCTTCACATCCATGGGAGTCCTTGAGCTGTTTTCAATTCCTCTCCAGCCAAGGTGTGAAAACACACCTGCATAAGAACACCCCAGCCTTGCCAATGCCAAATTGACAGCGCTGATATGAACAGCTGGTGGGAAGTCGCAGGAGGAAGAGCTGTGAGATGGACCGCAACTTCACTGTGCTCTAGGGTGGTAATGTGAACACACCCATAAAAATCAGTGCTGGTTTCGGGTGGTTCTGCAAGTAGCAGCATCAGGGAACACTGCGCTACTTCACTTTCAAGATTTGATGTGGGATGGTGGATACGGTTGTCTGTTGGGAGTTGTTAAAGCGGTACTTCTACCACCTAGGGTGGCGCTGTGGTCTAAAACACTGAGCCTCTTGGGCTTGCCCATCAGAAGGTCGGCGGTTCGAATCTGAGTGGTGGTGGTGAGCTCCCGTTGCTATGCCCCAGGTTCTGCCAACCTAGCAGTTTGAAAGCACACCAGTGCAAGTAGATAAATGGGTACTGCTGTGGCAGGAAGGTAAATGGTGTTTCTATGTGCTCACGGTGTTCCGTTGTTCCAGAAGCAGTTTAGTCCTGCTGGCCACATGACCCGGAAAGCTGTATGTGGACAAATGCCGGCTCCCTCGGCCTGAAGCGAGATGAGCACCACAACCCCAGTGTCGCCTTTGACTGGAGTTAACCGTCTAGGGGTCCTTTACCTTTTTACCTTTTACTTCCACCACCTACGTTCAACCTGTATATTTGTAAATATTACAAAACTCCACAAGCTCCCAGCGACCCCCTGCCAAAGGAAATGTAACTTCACAGTGCTGGGAGAGGTGGGGTAAGTTTAACAATGTGAAGCTGTTGAATCCTGAGTCTGACCTACTCTAGACTTCAAGAGTTGGGGGTCTCGAGATGATGTTGGTCTCCATCAGCCTCACCCAGCACAGTTGTGAGTTGCCACCCCCAGAAAAAACACTCAATCCAGAGAACAGCTGGAAGATCAAAAGGCAAGGCACGTTTATTAGGCTGCAATAAGAACACTGATGACACTGGAATGTGGGCAGGTCTTGGAATCCTACACTGGGTCAGGATTCCGTCATTAAGTGCTTCCGGTTCACAAAGTTGGGGAAGATCACTGCTGCCATCCAGCCACAATTAGCCAAGCAGCCCCCAAAAGTAGGAACACAGTGATGCTTAGCAGGACTATGACAGCCACCAGCCCTCCTGAGAGGCCTCCGAATGCAACATCCATGGAACGGAAACTGATAGGTAGACCTACCGTGGGAGGAAAGGGAAAAGAGACGAGACACATTTAGTATATGTAGTTAGCCCGTAATACGCACAGGGGTCATGTTCTGGGGATTGCACCTAAAGCCAAAACCATGTGCTTTGACTATATTTTGGAAACAAGGAGTTGCTCAAAGGCACCCAGAGAGAAGAGCTTCCTTAAATTGTTTCACACTTTCTCTTCCCCCCAAAGAACTCTGGGTTCCCCTTTCCCTGCATTTTATCCTAACAACAAGCTGGCAGCCAAGAGTAGCTAGCCCAAGCAGGTCATGCAGCAACCTCTATGGCTAACTGGGATTTGAACCCAGGACTCTGAAGTCCAGCCTTCTAACCGTTACACCGCACCGTTTCTCAAACGCCTGTTGGAGGACAAATGTAGGAAGTTGGTCTCACTCTAAAGAAGGGGTGGGGGACCTGTGGACCTCCAGACGATGCAGGACTCCAACTCCCTTCATCCCCAGCTAACACGGCCAATGGTCAGGGATGATGGGAAATGTAGTGCAGCAGTATCTCTGGAGGATCACAGGTTTCCCCACCGTTCTTCTAGGAAGGAAGCCTCTCTCCAGTCCTCTATCCCACTCCCACTCCTCCCCTCCCCCCAAAAAACCCTCTATAAATCTTGGACCTGGACTACCAAGATGCCTGAAAGCTGTAGTTCCCCGTGTACCACCACCACCCCTCTGCCCCGCATGTCACCTCGTGTGTGGAAAGGCTGGGACCAGTTGGTTGCAGCAAGGAGGGTCTGGATTTGATTGTAGAGAAGGTACCGGGCACTGTCCAAAGTGGGAAGGGCAAGAAAAACAGATTTGGGCATGACGTGGTTAATGCTTTATGGGACACACACATAAAGCCCACTTTCCCACCAGAGGTTTTTCATATTATTATCCTTCTCTTGGTGTTGGTGCTGAACTTTAAAGCCCTAAGTGGCCTCGGTCCTGTATACCTGAAGGAGCGTCTCCACCCCCATCGTTCAGCCCAGACACTGAGGTCCAGTGCCGAGGGCCTTCTAGTAGTTCCCTCCCTGCAAGAAGCCAAGTTACAGGGAACCAGGCAGAGGGCCTTCTCGGTAGTGGCACCCACCCTGTGAAACACCCTCCCACCAGATGTCAAAGAGAAAAACAACTACCAGTCTTTTAGAAGACATCTGAAGGCAGCCCTGTTTAGGGAAGCTCTTAATGTTTAATAGACTATTGTATTTTAATATTTTGTTGGAAGCCGCCCAGAGTTGCTGGGGAAACCCAGCCAGATGGGTGGGGTATAAATAATAAATTATTTATTTTTATTATTATTATTATTATTATTATTATTATTATTATTATTATTATTATCCTGAGGAACTATGAGCAGGAAAGATATTGGTTGCTTCCAGATGACCTGTTTATTCGTTTGCACAAAGTTTGTAGGGAGGTTATACAACAGGCATTGTTTATTGCGCATTCTTTCCCTCGCTCCCTCAGGAGGTAGTGATGGCTACCAGCTAGGATTAGACAAATTCATGGAGGGCAAGGCATGCAACCGAGACCTAGATGACACCATTCCTCTGTAAATAAGATATTTACCCAATGAGACCAAATAAACTTCTCACCTGTACCCTCGCCCAGGAAGGACCGCTTTTGTGCAGTTTTCCTGGAGGCAAACTAAGGTGGGCCCCACCTCATAAGCGAGGTCTTTTGTGATCAAAGGCTCCTCTGTCACTGGGCCACAATAGGGTATAGGGAACTTCCTACCAATCTTATAAGTGTGGTTGTATCCTGGAAGGAAAAAGAAGAATCTGATCTATTCTCTCTTAAGAACCCAGGAGAGGCGGGAGATTCAAATTACTTGGTGATAGATGTTGATACACAGTGTAGCATCTACCAACTGCCCAACAGTAGGGCCAGACCCAGCAGCAATATGGCAAGCCTCTCCAAACAGGTGGTTTTATTGGGTACATTTGGAAAGAGATAATAATAATACATCCATTTCCCTCCCCCCTTACAATAACCCTATAAGGTAGATCGGGCTGAGCCGGTGAGCTTCATGGAGCGGAGATCTTAACCCACATCTCCCCAAGTATTAGTCCATGTTCTCAACGTTTACTGACCCAGCCTTCCCTCCAGCTTCTTCCTGGAGAGGAAGACAAATGATAGAGAGAGACAAACAAAGGACTAATTACTTTCAGGATTATACGGAATGGAGCACCACAGTTTCTGTACAAGTCAGGGATCTTGCGCTTCCCAAAACAGCACTGGAAGGAGAATTTTTTTGAAGTGCCAACTTAATCAACAAAACACTTGAGCAACTTTTTGCTTTATTCTACCTGTTCACCACTTCCATTACCTTCTGGTTTCACTTCCACCTCTATGGTAGCTGTCTTCCGGGAGGCCTGGCTAGGATCCAAGTCCTCTCTGGTCCACTGTTCATACAGGCAGTAGGCAGGTCGGAGCCAAAGAACAGTTGAGAGGCGGGAGTCCGGGTAGTATAAGGAAACAGGGTAATCTAATGAGTAAAGGAGGAAGGAGGGAAAGGGAACAAATACAGGCAGATGGGAAAGCAGTTGAGGAAAAGAAGGACACAGTGCTTGGAAGTTATAGCTTCTATATTACACTGCTCTCAGCTAACTGTATTGACTCCTTATGCCCCCCACCCCAAATTCCCAGAGGGACAGAATCCCAGCATCCTTCGTCCAATGAGCATAAGCGCCTTCTCCTTTCCAGAATTCAGCAATCTCCCATGGTTTCATTTCAAGGTTAAAGCCCTAAACGGCCCAGTATACCTGAAGGTTGCTCCTGCCAACCTAGCAGTTCGAAAGCACGTCAAAGTGCAAGTAGATAAATAGGTACCGCTCCGGCAGGAAGGTAAATGGCGTTTCCATGCGCTGTTCTGGTTCACCAGAAGTGGCTTAGTCATGCTGGCCACATGACCCAGAAAGCTGTCTGCGGACAAACACCGGCTCCCTCAGCCAGTAAAGTGAGATGAGCCCCACAACCCCAGAGTCGTCTGCGACTGGACTTAACAGTTGGGGTCCTTTTACCTTTAAGTATGGTTGCAGCCTGAGTCACTCACCTAGTACCAGCAGAGAAGCAGATCTGCCATATAGCAGAAGGTTTATGCCAAACAATAACATTGCCTCCTTCATCTTTGAAACAGGATAAAGGAAACCCTCCACAAAGCCTATAAAGATTGCTTTCCCGAAGCTACAACTGATCTGAGCTAGAGGGGAAGGAGCAGACAGGGATATTTAAAGGGGAAAAGACTCAGGCCACATGAGCTCCTAAAGAACTTTAAATTTAAAGAACTATGATACCACTTTAAACAGTCACGGCTTCTTCCACAAAGAATTCTGGGAGCAGGAGTTTGTGAAGGGTGCTGAGGGTTGTCAGGAGTCACCCCACAACACACACACACACACACACACACACACACACACACCCAGCTACAGTTCACAGAGTTCCCTGTGAACAGGGGTTCACTGTGAGCCACTTCATGAAAAGTAGCTCTGTGAGGAGAATAGGCGTCTCCTAACTTCTCTCAGCACCCTTAACTCAATGCAGTTTCGGGGGGTTTTGTTGCCAAAGAGTGCCAAATCAGCTTTCATTGTGCAACCTGAATTGGCTGTGTGTGTAAATGCATCTCGCCTAAAAATATTTCTAGGACAATCCTAGACCTCTCTACTCAGAAGTAAGTCCTGTTAAACTCAAGAAGACTTACTCTCTGGTAACGGAGCACAAAATTTCAGTCTGTTCTGTTCTTTTCTTTCTTTTTTGGTTGATAAATGAATACCCTGTGTCCTTCGAGCATCTTCCACGTGGCTTATGGGGGGGGGTGGAATTATAAATGCCACAAAATCAAATCACATGCACTTAAAAAACAACAACCTGCCAAATCTATAAACAGCAGAGCAGGAAATAAAAACCGCCTGGATGAAAATCAATGTTAGGTTAACAAAAAGTAAGTTCAAACAAATGTGCAAAACAGCAGCAATAAAACACACACATACACTGAATTAAAATGCCTTGATGAATAAAAATGTTTTTTTCTTGTTCCTGGAAAATGTCAACAAATTTAGATGCCAGCAAGGTAAGGACTGTTGCGTCTCCCCAACAGAGCTTGCAGAAAATCCCAACCCTAAAGTTGTTCATGCAGAAGTTTCACTGAATTCAACAGCATTTCCTCCAACCCCAATAAATATGGTCTTAGTCTTGCTCTCTGTGTTCTGTCCACCTCCTACCCTTATGTAACTTGTGTAAAAACAGTGCAGATGAATTGCAGGTGTGGCCAGCCCAACCATTGGACAGAGTGAGGCGGCTGATTCTTTGGTGTTATGAAAGGGTGGCAAATTGTTACTTATTTAATTCATTCTTACTGGATTGTATCCAGCTAAATTCTAGATGTGTTGAAATGATTGGGCCTAAATTAGCTGTGGCCATTAATTTCAATGGGCCTATGCGATGACTGATGTTGAATACAATTCACTGGATTTTTGCTGCCAATGGGTGAATCTGTCCATTTATGTTTCCTCACTTTCCCAGTCTTAAATTCCGTTCTGCACATCAAGTTCGCATTTCGTTTTAAGTTCTCTTTAAAACTTATCAGCATTTTTAGGGCGAATTTCTCCTAATATAAATCTGTTTGTGTGAAATTTTGCCTAATATATTGATTCCTAGGCACATCTTACCCTCTCTCTCTTTTTGTACATATTACTTGGTTGGAGAACTGAGTTACAAGCACAGTTTTCAAAGGATGGCATTTTGAATCCCGTATCATTTCAGAAAGAGCAGGTTGCGTAAGTTCCCCTTCAAATGCTAACCGAATCCAATTTTCCCCCATCCCTGCTGCCAAGGAAACACAGTACATTTGCAGGGTTGTCTGCCTCGGGCATCGAAAACAACTTAGCCAACCTTAGGTGCTATACATCATGAGAACAAAGGAAGAGGCTGCTGCATCAGGCCAATGGCCGATCTAGTCCAGCATCCTGTTCTCACAGAGGCCAAACAGATCCCGGGGGGGGGCTCTCAGAAAGGACCACAAGAGCCCTCTTGCCTCCCCCTGCGGTTTCCAGCAACGGGGATTCAGAAACATTACTGCCTCCAGCTGGGCAGGCAGGACATACCATATTTTTTGCTCTGCAAGACTTTTTCCCTCCTAAAAAGTAAGGGGAAATGTGTGTGCATCTTATGGAGCGAATGCAGGCTGCGCAGCTATCCCAGAAGCCAGAACAGCAAGAGGGATTGCTGCTTTCACTGCGCAGCGATCCCTCTTGCTGTTCTGGCTTCCCTGCCCATGACTGAACCCTTCTCAAGTTCAGGCGAACATCTCTGGGGCAAAACACACAGCAATCTAGTTGCCAGCATCTGCTTCACATCTGCAAAAGGCATGTGTTGCTTTTATATTGGAATGTTTAGACCATGGGTAGGCAAACTAAGGCCCAGGGGCCAGATCCGGCCCAATCGCCTTCTAAATTTGGCCCGCAGACAGTCCGGGAATCAAAGTGTTTTTACATGAGTAGAATGTGTCCTTTTATTTAAAATGCATCTCTGGGTTATTTGTGGGGCATAGGAATTCGTTCATTTTTTTCTTCTTCACAATATAGTCTGCCCCCCCCCAAGGTCTGAGGGACAGTGGACTGCCCCCCTGCTGAAAAAGTTTGCTGACCCCTGGTTTAGACCCCCTTACCTCTACAGGCTGAGACTTCCATGTCTTTCTGTTTGTTTGTATGTGTTGGAATAAAAGTCAAGTGCCGCCTCTGAGAGCACTGGCTACGTCTGAGAAGCCCGCACATCCTGAGAGGCCTGTGCACCCGGGGGTGGGGGTGGGTGCCCGGCTCCGTTTATTTACGAAAGCAATTGAGCATCTGGCTCTGCGTCTCTGATCCTGACGCCCAATTAGCCGCATTGGGGTCAGTGCTGGCAGCTGAGGCGCTATTGATAACTTCAGCGACGACAACGCCTCGCTGTGTTCCCTTCAGAAAAGTCGGCATCTGAATGTCTGATTAAGATATTCCCTGACAATGTGTTTTTAAATGTTTTTGTTCTTAAATGTTTTTGTTTTTTCTTTTTATTGTTGTGTTGTATTGTTTTTATTTTGCTTTTTATTTTTTGATGTATTGTAACTTCTTATTGTTTTTCTTTTTCTTTTTTTTGGTAATTGTTAAACTTTTAATAAATATCTTATAATAAAAAAAAAAGATATTCCCTGACAAAACCCAGAGTCTGCTCTTCCCCACACCTTCTCCTCTCTTAATCCACCAGGTCCTTTTAAATGTATGGTCCCATGCTCTCAGCAGCCTGGTCCAGATATACCTCATATCGAGATATTGAGATATCTGTAGATAGGAAGCAGCCGTGAACTAAGCTGCTGTTATAAGACCCTCTATTCCCCCAGAACCAGAAGGTTCTGCCTCTTTCCACAGCAAATGCAAAGGATTGAAATATGGGTTCTGCTTGTGGGCCCATGGCATAAATTCAGGAGCATAGCTGGATCTCTTCAGTTTTGGGAATATAGAACTGCTGCTTCCATTCTGGCAATTCAGCAGGCCTGCTAAAATCAAAGTTCTTCTCGGTGGGAAGAAGTTTGCCATTTTAGGCCTTGCTCTTTTACTATACAAAGAATCCCGGGAACTGTGGTTTGTGAAGGGTTCTGGGAATTGCAGCTTTGTGAAGGGTAAACTGAGGTACCTAGGATTATTTGGGGGAAGTCAGGTGCTTTAGAAGCATGGTGCGTCCATCTTCCTTCTCCTTTTCTTCTGGTAGCCTGTTATTAAACAATCCCAGTTGGATGGCTGCTGATGAAAGCTATTTTGGGAGAGGAGAAACCAAATGGCAGTTGGTTTCAGCTGGGCCCATATGGGGAAGCCAGAGAGGACACTTCTGGAGAAGGTTTCATCTAGCCTGACTGATGAAGTGGGTCTTTCCTCTCCCTCAGACACAGCCAAGTAGAATTGCGGGTGATGGAGACAGTCCTGGAAGAGGAACCCCAAACAACAATTGCTTTCAACAAGGCTGCTGAAGCAGACCTCAATGAATATGTACATACCTTCCAACATCCGAACAGCAAAAACTGGGACGCCATCTTCCCATTTTTTGTCACAAGAGGACAGTGACCATGTGATCACTGCACAATTTCACACTGCAAACCCCACCCCCAATGCTTTTTTCAGACCAAAAGCGTGTGTTTTGTGGTGCCACGCAAGATCGCGACCCTGAAAAAAGCATTCTTTTTCCAGGGGAAATTACCTCACGAAATCATGCAAGATCATGGCACCCAAAATGGCTGCCATTCTCTCGCAAGAAAAAATGGGATGTCCCAGTTTTTCCGGGACACTTGTGAGGTATGTGTGCATCTCAGCAGCACTATTGCCTCTTGAAAACACCATGGAAATGGTGGATCTAATGACGAATACCAAAGGCCATGTTTGGCTCATGCCTTGAGTTTGATGCACAGTCCCTTCTCAAGAGTTGCTGTGGCCCAGGATGCACTTCTTCCACTGCCCAACGGAGTGGCCCGTCTCCTTGCCCTACCCTCAGTCACATCAACTGCAACTTGTTTGCGTGCCTATTAGCGAGCCTTGTGTTAATGAGGCCCGGAGGGAAGTGAGACCACCCAGCCGCCCACCCTCCATCGACAACCAAGCAGTGAGTCACGCCATAGTGTGGGAGCAGGTTTCATTAGCGGTGGTTCTGAATGAGACCTTCCAAGTGGGGGTCAAGGGGATCCGATAGCGTTTGCTCTGATAATGAGAAGAACACAAGCAGCCTAATTTCCCCGTCTTGTTAACATTCACATCATCTCCATAGACACACACTTCCGTTTGCTCCTTGACTTCTAGGCACAAGTTCAAAAGGTTTTCAGCGGGACAAAAGAAAACCTCTTGAACCTGTGCATAGAAGTCCCGGACCAAATGAAAGAAATTGTAGGCAAAGGGAAGTGTGGATGAGCCCCCCCCCCAACACACCACAAATGCATATTAAACCTGCAAATTTTTTGCACCAAAAATTCCACTCTGTCTGTGCCTATGGACTTTTAACATCAATGTGTTCTCACCAAAGTCTCCCCACTATCCCCCACAATACTTTTCCATCCTTCTGTTTAGTTCCATCATCTTTAATCACCCGTCCTTTATTTCTCTCAGTCACACTTTAAAAAACTCTCTCTCTCTGTCTCTCTCTCTCTCACACACACACAATTACTCTCCTATCTCATATTTTCCCCTCCACAGTCCATATTCTGACCCCATTCCTTGCTGTGCCTCATTATTTTCTTTTATTAGAGTGACCCGGGGGCAACCCATTCCACTCCAATCCATTCCATCTTTTCCTGCCTCAAAGCATCGTCCTACCTTCCCATTGATCTGGACCCTGACGCCTCCACTTGCCCTCTGTGCTGATGTCACAAGCAGAGGCAGAGGGGTATAAATTCACCGGAGGGAGATTGCTGGAGGCAGGAAACAGAAGACTGGGATACAAGAACCCCTGTGCTGTGTCACCAGCATACATAGGTAAGGAATCTGGGGGTGGGAGCCTGCCGGAGTTCCCCTTTTCACACACCAATCCCTTTCCCTGTCTTTCCCTCCTAGCCTCAGGAGCCATGGAAGCAGCGTTTGGAGCCTGCAAAAGTCCCAGGGCCACCTTAGTCATTCTCAGTTCTTACTTGCTGCTGTCTTCAGGGGCTGTGGTGCACAACTCAGGCAGGTAAGTTGAAGGGGTTTTTCTTTGTGTGGGGTTTTTTACCTGACCACCTTTTCCATCAGTCATTCTAGATCACACAAGCCATTTTCCATCTGAACCAGATTTACAGTGGACAAGATTGGGCAGGGTTGGCGGGGGTGTGTGTGCGTGCATTTAAAGTTTAGTAACATGACCAAAGTCTTGCAAAAGAGAATGTGGCAGAGAAGGGGATTGGGAAAGGAAAGGAGAAAGTTCTTCACCCCGAATAGTTTTTAAGAATGTGTTGGTCAGGGGCAGCCAACACAGTGCCGTCCAGATGCAGCCAGTGTAGTGTCATCCCATCAGCCCCAGTCAATGTGAGCGATGATCAGGGATGAGGGGAGTTGTAGTTGGACAACACCTTGGTGGAACCAAGTTGACTATCCCAATATAGGTAGTGGAATAAATCGGGGGAACACCTTTTTGGGAACCTCCTCTCTCACTTTTTCAACAGCTGGTTGCTTCTTTCTCTTCCGAAAGAAGCCAGGCTGGGGAAAGAAGACATTAATACTGACTCTTTATCCCGTTTTTGGGAGAAGAGGCTGCAAGAAGGTGCAAAGGGAGAAGTTTGGCGTTGCAGGAGAGGGGAAAGAGGGGCTGGGCTGGGAAGGGTTAAGCAGAATGTGGATGGAGCAGGGGCTTTGTTTCAAAGTATAATGAGAGGTTCTAGAGTTGGAAAGATTTAGGGCTCTTCCAGACTGTCGCTATTTTCAGGTGAGATTCACTCACATACCCGCAGACTCGTGTCTCACAATTACAATTGATTGGGAGTCCTTGCACAAGAAATAGTTTTTAAGAATATGTTGGTCAGGGGCAGCCAACACAGTGCCGTCCAGATGCAGCCAGTGTAGCGTCGTCCCATCAGCCCCAGTCAATGTGAGCGATGATCAGGGATGATGGGAGTTGTAGTTGGACAACATCTTGGTGGAACCAAGAAATCCCGTACCCAAAAGATCAGACGTTTTGCAGTAAGGAAAGTGGCAGGAAAATGCACTGGGAAGGGGGGGGGGCGACACTTGCATTGACACAACTGCCATGTGACGAACCCGCAAACAACTCAGAATGACGGTTCATAGTCAAGGTTGTCCAGTCTCCCTGCAGACAAACCAGGATGAACAAACAGGTTGTCTGGAAGAAGAGCTCAAATAATCCACAATTCTATTACTGATTTAAGGACTAGCTCCACATTTTTGTCCGTAATTTGCTCATGGAATTGCTTAGTCATGTGGGGCCTGCAACAAAATGTTGCAGTGTTTGTAGAGTGCTTCTGTTCAAGATTCGAGGCCATCTTCTCCACCACCAACACCCCTTATTTTCATTTCCCACCCTCAGCTGCTTCTCAGTATTTCGTAGCCACACTGAGCATGCTCAGTCCTTGGGCTGTTTTTAAGGTTCCGTTCTCCTTAGGTTTGTTCCCCCCTTAAAGTAGTTTTCGGACTTGTGCAAACTTTGCAGTTTCCTTGAGTCCACAATAGCTCCCTCTTCTGCTGAGGCGGTGCTTTTTTTTTTTTTTTGTCTAAATAAACGATGAAACTCATAGCCTGGACATAAGTAATGGAGGGAATGACAGTTTTGAAGAAGAGAGCTGAAAAGGCACAGAGAACAGGGGCCTCTTCAGACTGGTGTTTTATTGCGGGTGTATTCTGCAACATGTTCCTGACACAATCATAACGTGTCAGTAGTGGGTTTATTCTTCACGCTTTATTTGTCATTCAACGCTTTATTTGTCATTCAACGCTTCCTTGATGCTACGAGATTATTGCTTTCTGAAGGGCCTAAAGCACGACAAAAGCAGGACAAAAATAAACCAGAATGTTTGGCGTAAAGAAAGTTATGGGATCCCAGCAACAGGATATGGGATTATTACTGATTGTAGACAAAGCAGTATATGACTGCCCAAAAACTTTTGCAGGCACACTGAATGGAAAGCGGAACCATGCATGGCCAACCTTATTGCCTCGTGAGTACTTCAGTGAGAATGCACAATGAAACAGATGTCTGGAGGGGCCCAAAGTCTATCAAATGTCTAGTTGAACAGTTGAACAGAACAGGGAATTACCGTATTTTTCGCTCTATAAGACGCATCAGACCACAAGATGCACCTAGTTTTTGGAGGAGGAAAACAAGAAAAAAAATATTCTGAATCTCAGAAGCCAGAACAGCAAGAGGGATCGCTGTGCAGTGAAAACAGCAATCCCTCTTGCTGTTCTGGCTTCTGGGATAGCTGTGCAGCCTGCATTCGCTCCATAAGACGTGGGAAGGGAAAAAGTGAGTCTTATAGAGCAAAACATATGGTAATAACAGGGAATGACTGTCCCCCCCCTTGCCTCTCTTGAGAGCATCCCGGAGGCATCTGCCTGGTAGGGACAGAATGCTGTAGGCAGACACTGAGCCGGCAATGCCCCCCCCCCCGAATCTGAACTCTCGCCTCAAGGGACCTTACTGGTGGAGGTGGCTCCTAGGTGTCTTCCAGCAGGCTTGAGACTATGGGTTTCTTACTCCACTTCCTGCCTATTAATTAAGCTTCCATTATTTCCCACGAACTAACAGCCGCCAGGTTACAGTATATCAAATTACTAGCACAGGATTGGGGAACCCGCAGAGCTCACGTTTGAAGCAATGCAGCTCCCTTCAGCGCCAGCCAGCAGGGCCAATGGTCAGGGGCAGCAGGAGTTAAAAGCACCCAACTCCCCTCTCGTCAAAGAACTGTATTTTGTGAAGGGTGCTGGGAATTGTAGCTGTGTGAGGGATGAACTGCAGCTGCCGGGACTCTTTGGGTGGGTGCGCTGTAAATGTATTCTGTATACGCAGCCTAAATCTTTATAAATATATTTAGTCTTTATTAAGGCACCCAAAAGCTTGTTTTTGCTGCAACAGGCTAACACGGGTGGCTTTCTGGAGATTGCATATTGTGTGGGCAAGACCTTAGAGGGATCCATACTTGTTCTGTGCTTCCTTCAGAAGGCAATATTAGGACTCCTCCTCGGTTCCAATCTACTTGATCCCTCCTCTGGAGAACTCAGGTTTCCTATACTTTTTCTCCCAGCAGGCTCTGGAGACGTGAAGTGTCCCAGTATCCCCCAGCAGGGGGCAGCGTTGACCTCAAAGGAGCCCCTGTTCCCTGGAGCCTCCGCATCCCATCCACTACCTTGCATGACTGGATGCTCAAATGGATGTCCTCAGATGTCACTGCCCCCTGGCCTGAGGACAATGAAGATGAAGGGCAAAACAGGAAGTCCCACCTGTGGGGCCCAATGAGACAGGAAGCTCCGTCTCCTAGGGGCCAGAAGGTGGCGCTGTACCAGGCCAGCTGGGTTCCAGGTTGGGGCGGGAAGCGAAGTATTGTGCTAGCAGATGATGCCGCCTTCAGGGAGAAAAGCAAGATGCTGACAGCCATGGAAAGGCAGAAATGGCTCAACTCCTACATGCAAAAGCTTTTGGTGGTGAACTCTGAGTAGGAGGAAGTGGGGGAATTGGCAGGAGGCAGAGCGGGCACGGAGATGTGAGGTGCAAGAAGGGTCAACCCAGCTGCATTTCGCCTCTCTCAGAACCAAATCCAGGGCATTGTTTGAGTGACTGAGTTTACTTACGTGCTGCTTTTCCACAGGGAGCGGGGCCCAAAGCAAAACAACTACAGTGGAACCTCGGTTTTCAAACTCAATCCATTCCGGAAGACCGTTCGGCTTCCGAAAAGTTCGAAAGCCAAGGATCAATGGGCTGGCTGCAAAGTCAATGGTGGGGGGGGAATGTGGCTCAGAAGCCATTCGGCTTCTGAAAATCGTTTTGAAAACCGGAGCAGTTACTTCTGGGTTTTTGGTGTTCAGAAGCCGAAACGTTCCAAAACGGAGGCATTCGGGAACCGAAGTTTGTCTAATGGTTCATTTTTGCCATTTTTTGAATTTACTGACATGCTCTGTATTGCGTACACAGAAGCCGAAACATTCCAAAATGGAGGCATTCAGGAACCGAGGTTTGCCCGTGTACGGAATACAGAGCATGTCAGTAAATTCAAAAATGGCAAAAATGAACCATTAGACAAACACAGAATAAATTACCGTTACACACACACACACACACACACACACACACACACACTGGTACCTCGGGTTACATACGCTTCAGGTTACATACGCTTCAGGTTACAGACTCTGCTAACCCAGAAATATTACCTCGGGTTAAGAACTTTGCTTCAGGATGAGAACAGAAATCGTGCGGCCGCAGCGCAGCGGCAGCAGGAGGCCCCATTAGCTAAAGTGGTGCTTCAGCTTAAGAACAGTTTCAGGTTAAGAACAGACTGCCAGAACAAATTAAGTTCTTAACTCGAGGTACCACTGTATAAGGTGGGCGATGTATCAACTGGCCATTTAGAACAGGAATAGGCAATTGGAAGTCTGGAAGCAGCATTTTACCACCCCTCCACCCTAAAAGGCTTTTTACCACTTGTGCTCCAGTGTAGCTCCTGATGCCAGGGAACTCGGACGCACCCAAAACACATCCAGGGTTGAGTTGCTCTGTGATTTATCCCTAGCTGAGAGCCCGGCGAAATCTCTTTCACCCCTGCAGTTGGGATGGCTAGCTGGTGACCCTGTAGGATTCCAACCCCCATAATCACTGCTAGGCTCCTCCAGATGATATATTTATTCAACATTCATCCTCATTTGTTTGTACCAAGCTGTGTGTGCTGGGTAGACTATGGCTGTGCTCACATAACTGGCTTAAAACACAGCGGGGTTGTGTCATTTCTCCCTCTAAATGCCTCCTCTTTGAGCTGCTATTAGGTCCACAGTGGGTGAAAATGCAGGTACCTGCATCTTCCCTGCCTGCCCCACATATGCAGGTCTAATAGCTGCAGGTGCTTGTGATTTAGATTGGGGAAATGGTTCATTGGAAATGATTAAGCCTTGCCTCCATAACATAGCTGATTTAAAGTGAAGCGGGGGTAAACACTTGGGGAGCCAATCATGGATTTTCTCCTTCAGCCCTTAGGTGGTGAAATGTAGGAGGTCTGTTGCAGTAAAAACCCTTGAAGAAAAAGAGAATCAGGTTGAATAAGATAATTTAGAGCTGGATGGGTCCTTAGAGGTCGTCTCATCCACCCTTGCTCAGGGCAGGAAACCTGCAACTACAGCAGGAAAGGGGAAGCTCTGACCCTCCAGAGATTCTGATAGACTCCATCTTCTATCAGCTGGAGTCAGTGCAACCAAGAGACAGGGATGATGGGAGCAGCAGTCAAAGGTTCCCCATCTCTGAATTATGCCATTCCTGGCTGATAGCCACCCAGCCTCTTAAAACACCTGCAGTGTAGGAGAGCCCGCTAACTCCTAAGGCAGACCACTCCAAATACAAACCACGTTTTTCAGTTGAGAAGGGTCTAACGTTCTGCCAAAATCTGCTTCCCTGCAAATTCCACCCACTTTGGTCTTGTCCTGTCCTGTGAGCGACAAATAGCAAATCTGACGTGAGACTGCGTAGCAGGTGGATTTATTACTGCATGAGCCTCACTAAAGGCTGTCTGAGACAGCAGTTGTGCTTGGTTTCCTAGAAAAGATGGTCACTTTGTGTTGCCAGTTGGCCAGGGTTGTGGGAGAAGAGAAGTCACAGGAAAGTCACCGAGAGGGTTGCCTCTGCCCTTTGCTGAACATCTGTTTCACACTCTCTCCACTTATATTCACTTCAACAACATCTGTACCGAAATTGGAAGGATACAGAGAAGTTTAGGAAGGCCTCCGTGCTTGTATCTCGCACTCTCCACTTGGCTGTTTTATTTTTCCTGTTCTAATAAAATATGAGATTTAGTTTGTCTTGTTTTGTATTTCCTCTGTTGGGGGTGTGAACGAACAGCACAATGAGGTTTCTCCAGGGAAAGGGTTCACAAGTTATTTATTAAAAAAATTATCCCTCCTAATATTTTTATGTATACCAAAAGTGCAAACAGTTGCATTCAACAGAATTTCCTAAAAGCTAAGTAAAAGCAACAAAACTATATGAAACAGAGCAATGTGTAAAATGGTAAACTAAAAATTAAAAAGTCTCAGTCCAAGCGTTTATGATTTTCTGTGTCCACTTCATGAATTACATAAGGGCAGTGCCTTTTTTCTGGGGAGACACAGACATTTTGTGAATCTAAGTTTGGCCTCATTGAGGGGGTCCGTATTTCAAAATGAATAGGAAAATGAGAGTACCCCTAAACATTATTTTTAGAAAAAAATGTACTGCATAAGGGAGGGAATCTAAAAGGCCCAAAAAGGCCCACTTCTCCATTATCAACAAGTGAAAATCCACAGGTTGTGGACTGTCCAGCAGGATCTCCTCAATATATTAAAAATTGGTGTGTTCTGGTGTTAGGTATCCTGTTCCCGAGTTCTTTAGGGCAGCAAAACACTGAACTTGGCTCAGTAGTGTACAGAGTTTTCAACGCCACTGTGATATGTGTAAAGCTGGGTGTCCGCCTGAGCACCATAGTAGCTAAATTTTATACTAGCTGCAGCTTCCAAGCCAGGCAGAAGTGTAGTCCTATGTATGGGGCAGTGTGGTGCAATGGTTAGAGCATTGGGCTAAGACCCGGGAGACCAGGGTTCAAATCCTCACAGCCATGGCGCTCCCTGAATTGCCTCAGGCCAGCCAGTCATTCACTCTCAGCCTAACCTACCACATGGAGTAGTTGTGAGGATAAAATGAGGAGGAAGAGGAACCATGTACATTGTCTTCAGCTCCAGTTAACTAGACTGCATTCAGGTACCCGTTTAGATGTTTCAGGGGACAGAGCTGGGCATTAGTTTACTGGCAACCCCTTGTGCCAAATCACCTAATGACCCCCCCCCTGGTTTCAGCTAGCTATGATATGAAGCGCTGAGAACAAAAGTAGCATGAAGGGCAAAATTGTGCTCTCTGGCACGCTGCAGACCAGCAGCTCCAGCCGCCAGCGTCACAAAAGGGCAGGAATGGTGGCTGTGGAGCCCATCTAAACGGCTTCCTGCATTATGGGTTGTTAAAAGATTAAGAAATGGCAGTACCCAGCCCAACACAGACAGACTCAGAAGCAATAAGCTGCTCAGAACCTGTGGAAGAACAGCAAGGTAGGACTATTTCCTCTGGGTTTTGCTTGTGGGCACCTGGTTTGTTGATACACACAAGACAGACTGCCAGACTAGATAAACCTTTGGTCAGATCTATCCAAGCTCTTAGCCTTCTCACGAACCCACAACTGCAGCTGCCCCCTTTGCAGCCATTCGATCTGCGGCACATTAGCAGGGGATCCTGTTTCGTTCCTTACCGCGAAAAGCATCGCCTCCGTTCTCTTTTTAGGGATAGAGAAAGCTGTGCTATGCCAAGTCAGACCGCTGGTTCATTTAGCCCAGCACTGGCTGGCTGGCATTGGCTCTCCAGGTTTCAGGTAGGGATCTCTCCCAGCCCTGCCTAGAAGTCCTAGGAATGAGCGCTGGGCCCTTCTGCATGCAGAGCAGGTGTCCTGACCGCAGAGCTCATCTCCTTCCCTCTAGTTTAGCATGTCAGGCTGCTGTTAAAGGCCCAGTAACGAAAATCCTGTTCTGGCAGGAGCGAGCCAGCAGTCTCTACTTCACGGGGGCAAGACCTGATGGAGATCATTAGGTCTGACACTCCTGTGCAGCTCCTGTGTTTGTTAATAGCTCCTATTTCCCCAAATTGGCTTAAGTTGTGACTGGGCTGTGATTGAATCCCCCCACCCCCCCCAAAATAGCCTGCTAGCACCTCCCTCTGTAAATTCTGAGCCCCATCTCCCCTGGACCTGTGCTGATCAAAGACATCAACGCTAGAGAGACCAGCAAATTCAGAAGAGAAATGTTTATTCAATCAGTTCATTTACAGGGCTTCTTCTCCCCTGTTCCCGGGTCTCCTGTTCATAACCACAGCCCCACATTCTGATCTCTCCATTCTCAAAGCAGGGTGAATACTCTTGTTCAGAGTGAAAATGTAGCAGCAGGGATGAGGGGACAGCTAGGGGTAGAAAGTAGGTGTGCACAGTTGTTTCATCTACTGCAGTGCTGGGGGGGGGCGGGGGGGGTTAAACAAAATAACATTGAAAGACTAAAAATTCTCAGGGGCTCTGTTCCAGGGATAGGAAAGTTGGTTGGGGTGAAAGATAGCAGTACGGTGCTGATGTGAAAAAGAGGGCAGGGCTCCTGCCCCTTTAAGTGTTATGTGTAGCAGAGGGGATTTCAGAAGAGGGAGCTTCTACACAAAGGTGCAGGAGGCCCATAGATATAGATTAGATAGATAGATATAGATATAGATATAGATATAGATATAGATATAGATATAGATATAGATATAGATATAGATGATATAGATATAGATGATATAGATATAGATGAAAGATATAGATATAGATATAGATATAGATATAGATATAGATATAGATATAGATATAGATGATATAGATATAGATATAGATATAGAATTCAACTGATCACAACAGCAAGCAGAGCTCTCTCTTTCTCCCCATCTCTAGTTTTCTCGTCCACTGTATGCTACCCAACAACAATTAGGCTGAGAGAAGAAGGTTAAATTTGTGTGTTCTCCATGCAGAGCATGTCTTCTACCACTGAGCTATGGCTATTCCTACTAAGGTTCACAAGCATGGCAAGGGTGCGACACTGGGCAGGTGCCAAAGGAGTACATGTGGGCATGTGTTCATCTACACTCCAACATTTCTTCCTATACAAACTCACACATTACAAATGATGCATACAGGATTGTGCGTGGATATACGTGTGTGTCTCTAGAAAGGAGCTCGTAAAGGTGTAGTGCTGATGGGGGAGGCTGAGCTAATTTGAGTGTATAGCTCTGCACACACCATATATTTAAAGCACATTGGAAGCATGTGACTTGCCCCACCCAAAGAATCCTGGGAACTGTAGTTTGTTGAATATAATAATTGTTGTTGTTGTTGTTGCTGCTGCTGCTGCTGCTGTTGTGGTTATTCCCCACCCATCTGGGCAGCTTCCAGCAATATATAAAAAATAATAAAATGTCAAACGTTAAAATCTTCCCAATACAGGGTTGCCTTTGGATGTCTTCTAAAAGTTGTGTAGTTCTTTATCTCCTTGACATCTGATGGGAGGGCGTCCCACAGGGAGGGTGCCACTGCTGAGAAGCAGATGCTGAGAATGTTGACTGTGTGGTGGGTAAACTACAGTTCCCAGAATTCTTTGGGAGAAGTCATGTGCTTTAACTGTATGGTGTGTTTATAGCCTATATCTCTGGGGCAGATTAGTCAAAGGGAGGGGTATTCTCTCAAAAGGGGGGGGGCTGAGCTCTCAAATGGCTGTGCAACGGGCACAGCTGTTTGGGGCACCAGATTGTATTAAGGTGGCTTTGTGTCAGGAATATAGCAGAATCTTGTATGTGTGTGGGATGGGGAGGGGTCTGAGGGGTGGTGGCAGCAGCAAGCAAATCCGAAGGGTGCAGGCTGGAGGCCAGGCCGCTACTGCCGCAAGGACTCTTCCTCTGACAGCAAGAGGGGCAGGCGTGAAACAGCTCTTTGATCTGTAAAAGACAACAGAGAAGAGATTTGATTTTCCAGGTTTCCAGCCCTATCCTGCCCTGCTCCACACAGAGCTCCCAGCATTCCTTGTTCCAAAACAGAGAAGATTCAGAACCAGGTTTCCCAACTCCCTAAAAAAAATGCCCCTCTTCTCCCAGAGAATCCAGCATCTGTCCGTACCTTGGGGGTTCAGGTAGGTTAGAAAATCCATCAGCGTTTGAAAGGTGCCATCATCTAAGGAGCGCAGAGCATGTGCTGAAAGACAGATGACAGGCAAGTGTTATAGGAATTCTAAGGTCTTATATATGAAAAATAAATGTTCATAAATTTACAAGGCAAATACATACATAAGTATATAAACTAAGGTTACCAGATACATTTCAATGAATCCAGGGACACTTTTCAACTTCAATGGATTTTGTATAGGGACTGATTTGTAAATCTGAAGACTGTCCCCAGAAAACGGGGATGTCTGGTAACCTTAATATAAACCACGTGCCTGAAATAGTACAGGAGAACCATCCTGAAGCCATTTTGACTCTTCCAGCAACCTCAAATATTCTCCCCATTGTCTCTTTGCTCACAAATCCTGTCTTAAGGACATATTTGTGTTATGAATAGGGTGAGCCTGTGACCTGAATTCAGGAACTAAGTATTTAGCATCTCAAAAGGAACGGCCAGGCTGCGAAGGTAAAACAATCAGTGACCATTATCAGTATCCTGCCAGACAGGATTTCTGCTGGAGTCCACCCCCTTCAGTAATGTATAATGTGGAGGGGGGGTCCTCAAACTACAGGGTGGGCAATTTCAAAAGTCTATATAAGGGCTTGCACACCATTGTTCGGGGTTCCTCTCCTCCCTCCCTGCATGGGTTGAGTGGGGGACCCTGTTGCAACAGTTCTTTATTAAACTGTTTTACAGTTTAATATTAAACAGGCTTACTTTATTAAACAGGCTTACTAGCTGCTTTGCTTCTCAATATTTTCTGGTTGGCCTCAGGGAAAAGGAGCAGGTTTTTTTCTTATAACACAAGCTTAATGGAGCATGCGGGGAGAGGGCAGAGAATTCAGTGAAAGGGTGCTCACCCAAGGAATCCTGCCCTACGGAATACAAGTCCTCCATAGCATCTCGCTTATGCGCCAGGCTCCCTTTGTTGGACAGTGTCTGGTGAGCATCTGCTTTGGGGAGAGGAGAGTGCAAGGGGAGAAGTGCTGCAGGTTACATAGGAGGAAAAATACAGATTACATCAGGTTTGTGTTACAGATAGGTAGCCGTGTTGGTCTGCCATAGTCAAAACAAAAAAAATTCCTTCCAGTAGCACCTTAAAGACCAACTAAGTTAGTTCTTGGTATGAGCTTTCGTGTGCATGCACACTTCTTCAGATACACTGAAACAGAAGTTGCCAGATCCTTCTATATAGTGAGAAGGTGGGGAGGGGTATTACTCAGAAGGGTGGTGGGAATGGGTGATTGGCAGATAGCTGTGATGAGCCTGTTGACGACTCTTAACGACTGCAATAGGTCTTACAGGAAAAAGCATTTGGCTAGTGGCACATAAGAACCACCCCTTAGCTACCAGGCAGGACGTTTTCATACATTGGAATATAACTTGTTCTTTCCTCTTACGCCATCAACGGACTATAAACGAACTAACATGGATCCGGGAGGTTATGTGGACCAGTAGCAATCTCTGAGGACTAGCAACTTGTGCAGACTTAACTTGCACGCCTGTCTGTCTGGATTACACTACAGAAAACTAATTTAAAGAGTGAGGAGATTGAATTTATGATGATAAGGATGACGGATCGGAAGTATTTTCCCTCCCTCCTTGTTTTCCTCCAAAGACTTATTGCAAGGGTGTACACCAAGTTTCATCAAAATCCAAGACGGTGGGTGACAAAACCCTTGTTTTTTTGCATTGATTTGATGTGGAATGACCCATTGGGCAGCTGCCTAAGAAGAGGCCTGGCTGGATCAAACCAAGGGCCTTTCCAGTTCTGCTTTCTGTTCTCACAGCGGCCAGACAGATGCTTCAGGCAGGAGATGGCTGCAGCAGCACTCTTCCCCCTAAGGAAGTTGCCTTAGAGCTAGTCAATAGGAATGGACAAAGCTGTCCATGATTTTGACTTCTCTCAGTTTCTCATTTTTCTCAGTTCTACACATTCATTCATTTTGCCTGTTCTCAATTTCTTTTGAGCCCCATGGAAAGTTGCCAGCGTATCGGTGCAAGTATCGCCTCAAATGCACATTTTTTATATACAAATTTGCCCGATATACACATTTCTGCAAGACATCATGCCTTTTATACATTCGTTTTTACCGACACACGCATTTTTAGGCACACTTTCAAATCCCATAATAACAATACACGCATGCTTGGGTTGGAGAGACGCATCCTGCAATTTGGAATAGCTGTGTTTCGGTTCAAAGATTACCGTATTTTTCACTCTATAAGACACACCAGACCATAAGACGCACCTAGTTTTTGGAGGAGGAAAACAAGAAAAAAAATATTCTGAATCCCAGAAGCCAGAACAGCAAGAGGGATCGCTGCGCAGCGAAAGCAGCGATCCCTCTTGCTGTTCTGGCTTCTGGGATAGCTGCGCAGCCTGCATTCGCTCCATAAGATGCACACACATTTCCCCTTACTTTTTAGGAGGGAAAAGCTGAGTCTAATAGAGCAAAAAATACAGTAATTCAGAAAGTGTAAAATAAGCAGCTTTGCATTAAAAACCCAACTTATTCCTCCCCGCACCCCTACAAAACCAGACCATTGGCCCATCTGCCTCAGTGCTGCCTGAAGCAGCTGACAGCAGCTCTCCAGAGTTTCAGTCTCTCCCTGCCTTACTTGGAGACGCTGGGGATCAAACCCGGGACATTCTGCATCCCAAGCAGATGCTCTCCCTCTGAGCTACTGCCCTTCCCAGGAGAGGCATCTGCGCTGGCATTCCAGCAGCTGCCCATGGGTGCTGCACACTCATGCCAGGCCTGGAAGATGGCTTCCCTAACAACAGAAATATTTCTCTGAGAGCTGAAGTGGTTATGCTAAAGGCATCGTTATGCCATCTCTAATCCAACAGGATTTGCAGGTTTTCTGAAGCGCCGGGGAAATAAACCAGCAAAGGTTTATTTGAGCAGTGGGAACAGAGGCATGGACGAAAAGGGGGCGTATTCCGCAAGCAATGGTGGCTCTCGCAGGCCTTCTGCTTGGCTGTCACAGTCAGAGGCGGCAAGCATCCTCTGAGCATCAGATGCTGGGAATCATAAGTGGGGGGAGCTGCTCTCGCACTCAGGTCCTGCTTACGGGCTTCCCTGGTTGGCCACTGTGAGAATGGGATGCTGGATTAGATGGGCTAGTGGCCTGATCCAGCAGGCCTCTTATTTTGTTCTTCATTATTATTAACTATTTATTTATTAAATTTGTATACTGCCCTATACCAGAGGATCTCAGGGCAGTTCACAACATAAAATTACTACACACACACACACACACACACACAATGACAACTCCCGGACCTGCTTCCACACACGGTGGCAGATACCTTATAGTGCAATCTTAGGCACTTCGACTCAGAAGGAGGTACCATGGAGTTCAATGGAATTTATTCCCCAGGGAAGGGTAACTCCAGCTTCCAATATCATTTCATTCTTCCCCTTGCCCTTTAGCCACATACCCTCCAACATTTCTCTGATGAAAATAGGGACGTCCCATTCCATAATGATGATTTCATACCCCACACATCCTACTCGGTTGCCCCAACCACTCTGGGCAGCTTCCGACTTATATAAAAATATCATTAAACATTTTAAAAAAATTCCCTATACAGGATTGCCTTCAGACGGTTTGGGGGGTTGGATAACTCCAGACCCTCCAACATTTCCACAATCAAAATATGGACATCCTAAGGAAAAGCGGGACATTCCAGGATCAAATCCGAAACTGGGACAGCTTCTCTAAATCAGGGACGTCCCGGGAAGACAGGGACACTTGGAGGGTCTGTGGCCGTATCCTTCTCATGCCAAGCAAATCCTGACTTGACTTACGATGTCCCAAGAGGTATCCAGCGCTGTTCAAGGTCCAGCCGCGTTTGTCCTTGGGCTGCACATGCAACAAGAGGAAAAGTACCCTGAAACTAAGCCTGCCAACAGTGAGTCAGAGGGTGACATTTGCTATGGAGAAACCTTCTGTGGATGGAGGGATACATGCCAGTACAGTGGTACCTCGGTTTAAGAACAGCCCTGTTTATGAACTATTCGGTTTACAAACTCCACAAAACCAGAAGTACTGTCCCGGTTTGCGAATTTTACCTCCGTCCAAGAACGGAAGCTGAACGGTGGAAGGCCTCATTAGGGAAAGCACACCTCGGTTTAAGAACGGTTGCAGTTTAAGAATGGACTTCTAGAACGGATTAAGTTCTTAAACCGAGGTACCACTGTAGTGGCTTACACCATAGACAAAAGTGGGTGGGGCTAGAGATGGGCAGGGCCAGAGACAAAGGTGGGTGGGGTTAGAGACTAAACTGGGCGGAGCAAAGGATGTAACTGTCACCCTTGCACGATAGGGCCACATTTGCACCTTACTTTTAAAGCACGATTATGCCATTTTAATGGGCCATGGCCTCCGCTATAGAATCTTGGGAATGGGTGAGAAGGATGAGAAAAGCAAAGGAGGAAGTCTCTGGACTTTTTGGAATAATGGATTTTAAAAGAGCAAAGAAATATGATTGGGACTTCCTCTTCTTTTCTGAGTTTGAGTACGGGAGACCTATGGCAGATCTCTGGCAGCAAGTTCTTTTAACTACTTTGGACGCAAGAGAAGGAGATGTGGTTGTGACAGATCACCCTCGAAACCTGAGGTCCAACAAAAAGGACTACCAACAAAACCGACAGAGAGAGACGGACAGAGATTTAAAGGCCTCGGACGTGAGGAATCCGGGCTAGGAACTGCATGGGTGGATAATTATTTGGGAAGGGACGGAAACCGGGGTAGGGGGGGAGGGGGAGAGCAGAAGTTGGAAAATTTATGACTTTTGTGTTTTGTTATTTTGATTTATATTTTAATATAAAAAAGGGGAAATTTGTGGATGAGAAATTAGGTCGACCTTAGAAAAAAAAAAGATTTGATATTAATAAGAGAATGGGATAAGTAAAATGTGACTTAGTTAAAAGAATTAAGTTCAAAAACAACAGATTAGGTTAAGGGAAGGGATAAAAACTTGCTGAACTAACTTTGGAAATTGGGATGTATGAGGGGGGTGGGGGGAAGTCAGGGAAAGAGGGATAAGAAAGTAAGGATATGAAATTATACGTGTTTTGTCTTTGTCTTTTTTATGTGTGTGTTGTCTTTATAAAATTTGAAAACCCAATAAAAATTTATAAAAAAAAAAAAGGGAATGGTCATTTATTCAGGGTGCTGAAAGTGTAAGGCGATCCCTCTTCCCCTCACAGAACTGCAGTTGGCAGAGTGGTTTAACAGCCAATCCCTCTTCCTGAAGAACTCTGGGAACTGTAGCTCTGTGAGAGGGGGAAAGGGTTCCCTAACAACTCTGAGCACTACAGCTCCCAAGATTTTCTAGGGGAAGCCAAGACCGTTCACATAATTTAATAGTGCTTTAAATATATGGTGCAGATGCATGGGCATAGCCAGGATTTTTGTTGCGGGGAGCAGAACATCAGTTTGCTATGTACCTTAATTGGTTTTTATTGATTCAGGGGGGGCAACTGCCCCTCCCCCCCGGCTACGCCCATGCGCAGATGTGACCTAAACTTCAACCACACAAAAGTCAGAGGTTTCTACACACACTCTCTCTCTGTGTGTCTCATTTTCTCTCTCACACACACAGAATAGCTGGGAAATAGTTGGGGTAGAATCTTTATCCCTGATATATGGTACAGTATTTACTTTATATCTGCAAGGATTTTTCGTTTGCTTTTAAAGTGTTGGAGTAATCAAAACTGGGGTTTTATATGGACCATACATTTTCCTCCCACCCCACCAAGAATTCTGGGAACTGTGGTTTACCCCTTGCAGAACTACAGTTCACAACACCATTCACAAACTACAGTTCCCAAGCTTTTTTTGGGGGGGTGCTTTAAATGCATGATATGTCTGCAGAACCTGCTTAGCAAGTTGCTTAGAAGCCTATTTTGAAATTAAGCCTATATACATTAAAAACAAACAAACTGCGCCACCTGCAACAGTCTGAACCGATGCAGTTCCATCTTGCCACTTCATTTCTGCTGCATGTGAGGACCAGCCCAGCCCATGCAGGCGATCAGGAGGGACACAGGGAGGCCAGTGACAGCTCTCTATCAAGTAGGGTTGATGGGGTGGGGTGGGGGGGCAGTGTCACTCACCACCAGAACAGTTCCACAGCATTCCCCAAGTAGCCCGCAGAGGATCAAAGATGCACAGAGCACAGATTGAGAGCTCCACATCATCTGTGGGGAAGAGAGAAATCAAGGAAGCATTCTGGTTTCCAGTCTGACTCTGTTTCCCCCACTAAATCACATTCCCAATCCAGAATAAGTAAAGGACGCCTGGACGGTTAAGTCCAGCCAAAGGCGACTATGGGGTTGTGGTGCTCATCTCGCTTTCAGGCAGAGGGAGCCAGCCTTTGTCCACAGACAGCTTTCCAGGTCATGTGGCCAACATGACTAAACCGCTTCTGGTGCAATGGGACACCGTGACAGAAACCAAAGTGCATGGAAATGCCGTTTATCTTCCCGCAGCAGCAGTACCTATTTATCTACTTGCACTGGCGTGCTTTCAAACTGCTAGGTTGGCAGGACCTGGGAGAGAGCAACAGGAGCTCACCCCATTCTGGATATTGGAACCGCCGACCTTCTGATCGGCAACCCCAAGAGGCTCAGTGGTTTAGACCACAGAGCCACCCAGAATACCAGGATTATGATAGACATTATTTCTTGAGAGCTTCCCAAGATAAATATATACTGGTAATATTGGTTCCCTTGGTGATGTGTATACAATTTTTGTCTGCCTGTTGCCAGTTTTGCAGGGAGTTTTTTAAGCACTAAGAAGTCTTCAAAACCTGTTTGACCACAGACCATAGTCTCTAATTACATAGCGGCTATGGTCTGTGATGGGATACAAGTGCGCACCAAGGGCACCGTGAGTGTAATTTCAAGCCTTTGAAAAAGAGCACTGTCTGCTTACACAAACACACACTCCTCATCTTCTTTCCAACCCCACCCACTGGATGATGCTCTCAGAAAATCCACATAGCAAGACTGCCAATAGCCATTGCCAGAGGGGATGCTTTGTATGCAATGTTCCAAGATTCGATCCCTTCACAAGCATGGCCATTTGAAGGGTGAGATGCAAGTCAGAGTATTTGCACTAAGCTAGAGGCCCAAAGAGGCTGGTCTCAGAATAAGGCAGCGCCCCACGGTCTGCATGCGCTTTGGCACTGTGCTGGATGGTACCTGCCCAAAAGATAACTGAGCTGCAGGCCTCAGCTCAAAGCCCAGCCGCATCATGACCTCTAGCCCCTAAAAACCCCCAACCCTCTCAAACAGAGATGACTTCAAGATGCTTTTAAGATGCAGGCACATGGAATGTGGTACATGCGTGCCATATCTTCCCTGACAGGGCTCCTGTTCCTCTTGGCACCTGCACAACAGCCATACATTCAACAGGTGGAGACATTTCTATCACTGCTTTAGGCCACAAAAAAGGAACCTGTTGAATTTCTGCCTACCCCGTTGGAGCAAAAAACAGTGACACCCCTGCTGTGCCCCATTTCATGGAACTGGAGAGTTGGGTCATCTAGCCCTGCAATACAGGAATCTAAACTAAAGCATCCCTGACAGATGGCCATCCAACCTCTGCTTAAAAACCTCCAAGGAAGGAGAGTCCACCACCTTCTGAGGGAGACTGTCCCACTATCGAAACGCTCTTACTGTCAGGAAGGTTCAGTCGGAATCTCCTTTCTTATAATTGAATCTATCTGTCTGAGTCCCACCCTCTTGAAGTAGCAGAAAACAAGCTTGCTCCATTTAAACTCTCTTAACGGTCTGTCAGCCAGTGTCCTACCCCACACCCCCAAACCAACACCCTTAAATCCCAAACCTCCATCATAGATTTTAAGGAATTCATACCTTGAAACCTGTCAGGAGCCGCTGGATGTCTGATTCCCCACGAAGTAGGGGACCCAGGATTTATAGAGGGGGAAGGCACAGGTCGGGTTGCGTCATTACTCCACAGACAAAAGACACAGGGCGGCGGGAACGTATGTGTAATTGACCGTAATGGCCCCCAGAAACCCAGCTGAATGGGGAACAGAGAGAGAGAGATGTACTAATCTCTTTTAATGCGCAATTTATTCACATCCTTTGTCAGAAAATTGATGGAACATTGGGGTGGGGGGTAATTAGAGCTAATTGACTCCTCAAAATGAATTGGAGGAGGGTGGTCAACCATGCAAGAAGTAGGCACCTGCCAAGAGGCCTTCCTGTTTTTGAGGCCAGAGAACTCTGTGCCCTGCTGCCTCTTCTCTAATCTCGCTGCCCTCCTTGCAGCCACTTCACCTGTGTACATTATTCACCCTGCAGTGCTTTTCCAAACAATCACATCTTTGAGAGAAATCTGGAGATCTAGCTCCAAGGAGGCCCACTCTGGAGGGTTGGTGTGTGTTCATTATTACTGGATTTTATTTAAAACACGTTCACCCCACCTTGTGCTGTAAGGTCGGCTTCCAAAACGAGGCATTAAAATCAGTTGCTACAAAATATCACAATTAAACAGAGATTGCTGGGCGAGCTTCAGTCAATCTAACATTAATTCCTGGGGTGGAGGGAAGCAAAGTTTGGAGCTGAGGCCCAAATGTTACTAGCATTGGCACAGGGTGAATTGTTCTGGTGAGGAAGTTCAAGAGACGAGGCGCTACCACAGAAAACAGGGGTGCAAACTTGAATATAATATTGAGGGGGCCCAGGTAAGGCCCACCCCACATAATCGGTCACATGATACAGTGCGCACACACCATTTGAACGGGAATGCCCATCAACTTTGTGGGCCTCAAATATTTTATTGTGGGGGCCAAAGCCCCCACGACCCCTAGGAGTTGGCTCCTATGACAGAAAATATTCTACAGCCACTGTCAGGGCTCATCCACACTGCGGTTTGCCATGGGCTTTCTAGACACAAGTCTGAGAGGTTCTTTGTTTGTCTTGCCCCATTCCCAGGGGAAACCCGCAGTTTCCCACAGGATTGGAACAAACGTCAGTCAGGTTTTTGCAGACTGGCATTTGTTTCGATTCAGCAGTTCAAAAGGATTTTGCATCCAGGTTTCTTGGAGCAGGATGATCTTGAACTGTGATACGTAGGTTAGAACGTCTTTGTCCATTGTTTTCGATTGCCATCCAGCAACGTTCCAGGATAGTAGTAGAGGTGAGCTCTCTAGAGCCCGCTTTGAGACAATGCCCTCAGCAGTGCTGCACGGCAAATTCACGCGGGTACCAATGCATGCACGTCTCTGCCCCTGTATGTCTAATAAGGTAGAATCTGTTACACACATCCTGCTATTTTGCGAATTTTATAGTGAAGAACGAGCTCAACTTATTTTGCCGCTTTTATCAAAATTTATACCCCTACAACATTATTTGGAATCCTCCCCCGAAATTCTACGAAAATACCTTCTGGAAGATTCCTCAAGCTCAATATCATATGAGGTGGCCAAATTTTGCACTTTAGTAATCAGGAAGCGTAAATCTCCTCTGTTGAACGGCACTCTGCGAAGTTCCCCTGTGTAATCCTTTTTTCCTTTTTTTTCTTTTTTGATGTTGCTGTTGATCTCTTTTTGTTTGATCTTGTGGTGTCTAGTGTCACTGGCTTTTGCCGCAATTAAAAAAAACAAAACAACAACCTTTTGCGCTCTTCCACACCCGTCCAATGTTCCTGACCCTTATTTTGGATTCTTTTAGCTTCTTTTAAATTCTTATAGATTTTTATATTCACCTTGTGTTTTAATACCTTTTTAGATTTTAAATGCTGGTCTATGACCGTAATAAAGATTTGTTGTTGTTGATTCAGCAGTTCACAGAGGCTTCTCTGGGGGAAAGCAGTGGGCCTCTCAGAACCGTGTCTAGAACAAGTGGAAGAAAACACCACAGGGCAAACCAAAATGTGGACAAGCCCTCAGAGGCAGTGTGACCCTGAATACCACTCCTGCTTACAGCCTTCCCACAGACATGGCATGTCCCAGCAGGCTCTGTTTATGTTCTTAAAAGATCCCAAAACTATCCCTTGTCACCTCCACACCCATCTCACTTCTGAATAACGGGCTCAGGCAGGCTCATATGGGAACAGTCCATTCAAGACAGATTCTACTGCACCAGACCAAACTCTCCAGCTCTCCTGGCCAAATTTCACTCCAGAACCCCTAAAGAAATCAGCAGCTGGAACTCCCAGCGAGGGCGTCCAACTTCTTCTCCCCCAATAGGCCTAGCCTCCCTGCCTTCTGCAGCAGTCGGACACATACAAATAAAGTTTTAATTCTCCACTACATTAGCTTCCTGCTAGGGGAGATGGTGGACTGATCTTTGAACTTCTACATTCAGACTGCTTTTAAAGGCCTGGAACATGGCCTATTATAAAAATGGGCAACCCTGCTTCCAAATGAGCCTTGCTCCATCTCCAGGGACCTCAGGGATCCTGCTCCTAGCCAGTATTTGTTATAATACTGTAAAGTAGCCTTCCCTGACCAGGTGGTGCCCTCTGTATGGTTGGGTTTGATGGGATTTGTAGTCTAAAGCCTTTGGAGGACACCAGCATGTTGGGGAAGCCTGCTTGAAGCATTGTATATGCTTAACAACAGCAACAGTGTTATCGGCATATGTGATGCATCAAGCTGGCTTCCCCAAGCTGCCGGTGTCCTCCAAAGGCTTTAGACTACAAATCCCATCATCTCCAAGCCATACAGAGGGCATCACCTGGCTGGGGATTGGGAAGGCTGCTTTACAGATTATTTGAACAAAAATAAGCACTCCTGTGTCCTGTTGTAGTTTCCTATCTAAAAACTGATGCAGGGGAATATGGGAGGCAAATGCCACCCCAGCTACTTAAGATTTCTTTCCAGCACAATTTAATGCATTAAATGACACTCCTGCACCAAGTCCTCTTTTTCACAGCATCCTGTAATTTTCACCCTCTGAATCTAATTGGTACCCTGGTGGGCTTTAGGACAAGGACTTTCATCTGCATCTGGCCTGCTTTAAGTGCACATGGGGCCCTTCAGCCTAATGGCCCCATTAGAGATCTTGAAGACCTTTCGGGAATGAAGAGGCATCTGCAATACGTCAGGATTCCAGGCTGCTCTGGGAGGGGAGTGGTACCCAATATAGAACTGATTTGTCGGAAGCTAATAGGTCATCAAAAGATGCAAAGAGGCACTCGAGGCCTCTTCTTGTAACATGTAAAAAGCGTATTTGCGTACATCCATTTTTCACTGCTTGTTTTTAACGGCTGGTGGTTTGAAAGGAGCACTGAAGTAGATTATCAAGATTCTCAGGGTGGCATCCAGGACTCTTGGGTTCGCAGGGACATTTGTTGATTGCCAACCATGTTTCGGGAAGGAGCTTAGAAATGAGTTTCCTGGCACCCATCCAGAATGTTACCTTTGTGGCCTAATAGATCTGGAAAATGCAAAGCTGGAGGGAAAGATTCCGCCAAGCCGTTCTTGCTGTTAATGCGCACTATCAAAGCGCATCAATGTGTACTAAGGCATCACCATTGCATAGCCAGGATTTTTGTTGGGGGGCAGGCCTTTGTGGGGGGCAGAACTTCAGTTAGCCATGAGTTTTACTGATTTTTATTGATTGGGGGCAGCTGCCCCTCTCTGCCTACACCCATGGACATCACACTGGTGTGTGTGTGTGTGTGTGTGTGTGTGTATGTAGGGGCTTTGTGCACGCAAACTGTGAAAGCAAACACATTGTGCCACCCTGCTCTTAGTAAGATGACTGTGCTCTTAATAACTGGATCACAATGTTGTTCTCCCAGCTGCCGTGCAGCTAGGATAAGCCCTATAGCCCAAAGCCCTGGTCTCCCCCACTCCCACATGGCTTCATGTATCTCCAAGGCCAGTGCTGGCTCCAGGATTTCAGTTTGGCCCCCTGTAACCTGGAAGAGGTGGGACATGCAAACTAGGAGTTCTCTTAGGGCACTTCAGAACTGTTGCTATTTGCAAGGTGGGGTTCTATCCCACAGTGACCAATTCAGGTTGTCCAATCGAAGTGGATTTGGAGGTCTTGAACAACAAACCCGCTTCCCCCAAAAGAGCAGACTTTTTGTGAAAAATGAAGAGGAAATTCATCAGAAGGTACGGGAGAACAATTGTCTGACACGTCGCATAACGTCCTCACATACAGATCAGAATCGATGTTCAATAAGAGCCAATGTCGCCTAGCCTCTCCATAAACTCTGCAAACAAATCAGGATGAACGCTCAGTAAATAGGTCATCTGGATGCAACTGCAGGCTACATCTAATCGTCTTAGATACTTTGTGCCAAGTCAAAATGATAGCACTGTTAGGGCAACAACAGTCCCTCTGCTGGTTTGGGGGGCCCCTGGCTGCCCTCTAGCCCTGGCAGGGCAAGAGGCAGGGATGAGAAGGTAGGTCAAGATTTACTGGTAGATCTCAGGATGATCGACAAGCATTTCTGACTCCCAAGCGTTTAATGACAGCAGCAGCAAAACATCTCCTCCCATCCCTTCTCCGAATCGCTGAAATGAAGAAAACTTGTGGATGGGGAACCAGGAACTATTTGCATTTGAAAGGACTGTGTGATCCAGTTCTGGGTCAGAAAACAAATTCCAGGACTGAAATGTGCCCAGGGGCACCCTGGCACTTGGTTCAAAGTGTGCGTGAGTCCTCCATGCCATCATTCCTCACCTTGTTCTGGCTGGTGGATCCTGATGTTCTAGTTCAAAACAAAACAAAACATAGTTATGCCGAGTCTGCAGCCTGCCTGCTCCTTGTCGTCTAAGGCAATACATCTTTATTTGTGGACTCGGAGTCACTTCCATCATCTGATGCATAAAATAATCCTTTGTTGCAGGGATACAGACACGTAGTTTTTAGGGTGGTTATGTTAAGCCGCGGACTCAAGGGGAAATGAAATGCAAGAGAAGGGACGACAATTCAGTTGGAGCAGGAGTGTCTGCGAAATAAGCGAAGCGGCCCTTTTGCAGCAGCCCTGAGCAGTGATGGGATAAATAACAAGGGTGTTTTAATGATGATCCGCAGCAGGAAAGGAACCCACGGTCTCTATTCAATCCCAAATAAGCAGAGGTAAACTCTCCAAAGTCTAACCTGCTTCACTTTGGATAACTCAGTCGTTAGAGGATGAGTGGCCAAAAGATTCCTGCATTGCAGGGGTTGGACTAGATGACCCTCGGGGTCCCTTCCGACGCCACAGTTCTATGATTCTGCACATGCCCACCGCCCAGCTATCCCGACACAGCGCCGCCTCTGTTAAATCCATGGGGCTACTCCCTATCCAACCTGCAGCGCCAGCCGATAAATTTGCCTGAATCCATTAAGCCACCCCGGGGAGGGAGAGAACCAGAGAGCGAGGGAGGGCGCTGGCCCTTTAAATCTCACCCGCCCCGCCTCCCGCAAGCCCGTCCATGCCAACCTCCGGCGGACGCTCTTCCCTCCCGTCGCCGCCCTAGTCCTCCAGCCCATCCGGCAGCTTCTCTAGCCGCACCCATTCCCCTCGACTCTATGGCGCCACCCGACTCCGATTGGCCAATCCGGGGCGGCGGCGCGCTCTTATTGGCCGGGCGGCTCAGCCCGGCGGGGCGCGGAGGGGAGCTGTCAGGCTGCGGAGGGAGGGGTTTTCCGCTGCCGGCCCAGGGCCCTGAGAGCGCGCGCCGCCGCCGCCGCCGCTGGCCCCCCTTCCCTCCCGCATGGGGGGTGCCTGAGACCCCGAGCCCGTCTTCCCCCTCCCCGTAGGGCGGGTGAGTGCCAAGAGGGGCGGGGGCGGGTGATTGACAGCAGCCCCCCCCCAAAGGGGATGCAGGGCGTGGGGGGGCGCTTGGAAGGGCAGCGGAGGGCGAGAGGGCAGGGCGCGGCGGAGGGGGGGGGCTTCCCTTCTGCAAGGGCCGCCGGGTTGGCGCTGGGTCCCCGGCCCCTGGAGGCGCGCAGCCATTGTGGGGTTACGCCAGGGTGGGGCACCTGCTTAGCAAAAGCGGTGCATAAACATGGCAAGGTGGCTGCTTCTGCGCGCGCAGCCGGGGTAGGGCTCCGGGAGGGCAGATGCCTGCCTGCCTGCGGGAGGGCGAGGGCAGAAAGAGGGCTGGCAGCTGCGCGAGGCGTGTTGCAATACCGACCGAGGGAGCCCGGGACTGGCTCCACCCATCCCCGCCGCCGCCTCTTTTCTCCCGAGCAGCCCAGCCTTCTGCCTCGTCCCGGGTTTCCCACGTGCGTGGTTTGTGCCCGCATCCGCCCTCTTCCTTGGCCAGCGTCCGCGATCCCTTCCTGCTTCTTCTTCTCCCAGGTGGGCCGCATCTGACAGAGGAATATTGACTTTTGCTTGCATGGAGTGTTAGGGTGGGTTGGGTGTAGTTCCACAGAATTGGGGTTGCTTGGCAGTGAGGCCAGTAAATGCACCCCTGTAATATTGCGGGCGGGGGGGGTGTGGAGTTGTAGCAGGGAGCAGAAATCACAGGATGTAGGCCTCTAGCCGGACGTACCTTCCCTTGTGGACCGCTGAAATGGGAAAGTGGGTCCAAAGGTTTGAACTGAACCTGCTACTTCTCGAACTTCTGTTGAAACGAGCAACAGTCGTTGTGGGGATGGGCAGGGATCCTGCATGGTTGGTGTGGATCAGATGTACTGATTCAGCCTGCCTAAGTACATAGGAAGCTGGCTTCTGTTCTGTCTGGTTTACAGCTATCAGCATTGACTGGCAGCAGCTCTCAAAGGCTTCAACAGGGTTCTACCTGGAGATGCCAGTGATTGAACCCAGGACCCTTTGTGTGCAAGGCAAATGCTGTATCATTAATTTGCAGGAAGCACTGGGGCAGGCAGGCAGCAAGGGAAGCTGTGTTCTGTCAAGTGACCAGAGTCTCAGCTCTCAATTCCACCAGACACCACCCATAATCCACGACCCTTGAGAAGTCTTTACTGCAACCCTTTAGTTCCCACATTCTGCTGTAATAACCAGGTCTGATTACATGTAACTGAAACAAATGCATATGCCTCCCTACTTCCATTTCCTGTCTTTTCTCAGTTTTTATTTTGTAAGCTCTTTGAGACAGAGACACTTTGCTAAAAGTGTTGTGTGCTTAGTTGATGCTGTATAAATAAACAGTAAAAACCTGCGAAGTTGAATCCTCTGATCCACCATATATTTTTTGAGCTGTGTAGCTCCTCTTCCAGTTCCTTTGTGGCCCCATCCAGGTGTCCAGGATTGTTGCTGTTGATTTTTGGTTGTAGGGTGGTGGTGGTAAAAGTTGGCAGCCATAAGCATGCCTGACACTTGAAGTTCTCTAGCAGCTGTATGAGAAGGAATCAATTAACACCAATCCCAGCTTCATGATAAAGTGACCTGACATTCATCTACCTAGAAAAAGCAAGAATTGTAGTTAGATTGTCCAATTCAGAGTGCTGCTTTTGGGGAAAGTGTTGAAAGGATTTCCTGCAAATAGAATGGACGTAGCAATCTAGCTAGGAGCAAATATCTAGGAAGATGTGGCCAAAACTCATGCAAACTCTTGGTAGCACAGAGGGGAACGGACTCTGTGTCTTCTTCTAGAGATTGATTCTACTTTCTTTTTTCTTTGTGCAGCTTGCTCTGGAACCCAGCAGAGATGACAGAATACAAACTGGTGGTGGTGGGTGCTGGTGGTGTTGGGAAGAGTGCATTGACTATACAGTTGATTCAGAATCACTTTGTGGACGAGTATGATCCCACTATAGAGGTATGTGAACTTTGTAATGTTGGCAGCAACTTCTGCATGGCCCCATTTGTATGCCTTTTCAGAGTCCTTATATTCCTGACCTGCCTGCCATCTCCAATGCTTTGGACTATAACATCTCATTTCTGGGCTTCTAAAACACTAGTCCTCTTTCCATCGTTTTGTTTCCCTCTGTAGCTCTCCATTCTTTATAGAGGCAGCTACAATCTTTTTATCATGTCCAAGATTGGGTCCATTTGGCTTGAACCAGTTGTTTCCAACTGCCTCCTTGCTGGCCTTCTCTTGCTGTGCTTCACACACGTTTCCCATGTCACTTGTTAACATCTTTTCTTTCACTCTTGCTCCTCTTGGTGCTTCTGAACCCCAGGATTCATACCGGAAGCAAGTGGTAATCGATGGAGAGACGTGTCTCTTGGATATCTTGGACACAGCTGGGCAAGAGGAGTACAGTGCTATGCGTGACCAGTACATGAGGACAGGAGAAGGCTTCCTCTGTGTCTTTGCAATCAACAACACAAAGTCTTTCGAAGATGTTCACCACTACAGGTGTGTGGGCAACTGGCTTCTCTCTGTCCTCCATCTGTTTTCCTTCCTGTATAGCAGGGGTGGGGAACTGTTTTGGCCTAGTCCCCATCTCCCCCTACCCCTGCAAACCATCAGCACCTGACATCTCTCGCAGCACATGCCAATTGCCTGAGAACCAGCTGGAGTTTGGGTGCTTCAGAAACTTTGCAAGCCCTAAGCTTATTGTTTTGGAGGTGCCAGGCACAGACCTTGCAGAGGGCTTTGTGCTGTGATTCCCAAGTACCTGACAACTAGCTGGGAAGCGCTACGCAATGGAGCTTTGCAGGCACTGTCAATTGGCAGGGCCTGCAAAGCCCCTTTTGGGCTAGCCCCATCATATTGGGCAGGCGGGCAAGACTTGCAGCAGAAGGTGGAAGAATCTGAAGTAGGTAAGAAGAGGAGTCAGAGGCTGCATTGTGCAAAGGCCTTTGTCACCATGTGGCAGGAATGATATGCTTGGAGGAATCCCAGACTGCATTTTCCTGAGCTAAGTACCTGAATATGCTCTATACTCTGCAACACTGGAAAGTACCTTTTCAGCATCAAGCCCTAAGTGTGCTGCTTGTGTTGTCATCTAGGCAAATGTAGAAGCAGTGGTATCATCGCTGATGCTTCTGCCCTTGAATCTAACAAATCTGTAGCAGCGTGAATTGGATGTCAACAAAATTATGTTGCTCTTGCTCTATACTTTCTCCCACTCCCAGTCCTTTGAGGCCTAGTGAGAACAGAAACAGATCCACCAAGTATGCCAACATGGGGAAAGCCACAAAGACAGTATTGAATCCTTCCTCATGCACTTGCATTTGAAAGTTGTACTCAGTGTACAACTCAGGGCTTGCTTGTCCTCAGTGTACAGGAACTGTAATGATCTGCTGTAGTCGTACATAAAAGTCTCCCTGTTACACAATTTTAGAAATTATTTTGGGGGAGGTAAATATATGAACATCTGAGTATTAAATATTCTGTTCCTTAGTCTAAAAGAAATATTTTTGGTTTTTTTAAAGCAAAACAAACTTCAGAAAAACCAGCAAACACCAATGTGTTCTTTTAATTTTTCTGGCTTTTTGCCAGGCCTTCACATGTCTAGACTTCTCTTTCAAAAAAAGTATGAATGCATACTTCAGCAGCAAACCACTCCTAAGTATGTGTATGGATGTGCTATATCTAATTTTTAAGTGTAGAATGGCTGTCTCTTAAGGGCAAACTACACTGACACATGTATTACTTCGTGTGTGTGTGTGTGTGTGTGTGTGTGTGTGTGTGTTTTAAAAAAGCCAACCAACCAAAGCAAAACAAGTCAGTGACTTTAGGTCAGGTAATGGCAGGTGCAGTTGAGTCCTTTTTTGTTCTATTCTCTTCCTTGGAATAGCTTTTGTTGACTGCTTTTCTCCCCCACCAGAAGAAAGCATCTAGTTGTGACATTTAAAGCAGCAAAAGGGAAAGGGATTAAGCTACCCCACCGTACCATATCTCTACTCAAACTTGGGAACTTTCTAAGCCTTTTTTGGCTTAGATAAAAAAAAATGGGAGAGTGTTCTTGTGCTCAGGGCCTGCTTGGGTGCTTCCCATGGGCATCTGGCTGGCCAATGTGAGAACAGGATGCTGGACTAGATAGGCCATTGGCCTGATCTAGCGGGGCTTTTCTTATGTTCTCATGCATACATCTGTATGTCACATCTAACTTGGACCTCAGTTGCTTTGCACACAGATAAAACACAGGACAAACTGAACTTCCGGTGTATACTTCATTAACACCAATAATCTCAAATATATTTTACTTTGGAGGGGGCCCAAACCAGAATCAAGTTTGGGAGCTGCTGATCTAGGCGGTTGTTCCCTGTTTGTGACTCGTTGCCTTTGTAATTCCAGGGAGCAGATCAACCGTGTGAAGGACTCCGATGATGTTCCGATGGTGCTTGTTGGCAATAAATGTGATCTGCCCTCCCGGACGGTGGATACGAAACAAGCCCAGGAGCTTGCCAGAAGCTACGGAATCCCCTTTGTAGAGACCTCTGCCAAAACCAGACAGGTATGGTATTTACTGTGGGAGAAAGTGAAAGGTCTTTGATCTTCGTAGCTATAGCTCAAGACAGTGTTCCAAGCGGGTTTTGGAATAAATTGCAGCTGAATCTTGCCCAGGTTTATCTGCTGCATCAACGCGCCCTCTCCCCCAAGTCAAGCGTTTCCAGCCTAAATCTTCTGTTCATCAGCATGTAGACAAAAAGCAAATAGTTTTGCTTTATGTTGGCTGTGTGCTCAAAATGCCAAACAACGGGATTCATGCTATAAGCCAGCACAGTTGCTCTTCTCCTATATGACTTGGAGTAGGAATGGCATTGGTACAAGGTAACCATTCTTATTTGTGAACTGCCATGCCATTAATGCCTGCTGTCTTAGTTCGTGCTGCGTCAGCTTAATGATAAGACGGTTATCAGCATGGCATCATTCTACTGCTGGTGTCCAGTTGCCAAAAAACCTTTCTCAGTGAAGGCAGATGTGAATGAATGGTTTACTGATATGAAGGAAAGGGCTTATTGGGAGAGAAAGGATCCCGTAAACAGGAATAGCGTGACGACCTCCCCGCTCCCAAGTAATATTATTTCTGCCTACTAGCAATGGATAGAAAAAACATCACCAGCATAAAAATCCAATACCCCCGACACCTCTAATATTTAAATGGGAAATCTAACGATGTCTTCTGTTTGTGTCTTTTCTTACTTTCATTTGGTATACTCGTTCGTCTTAAAAAGGGAGTGGAGGATGCTTTCTACACCCTGGTGCGAGAAATCCGAAAACACAAGGAAAAGATCAGCAATGGGCGCAAGAAGAAATCTTCCAAAAGGAAGTGTATTATCCTCTGAAGAAGAGAGACTCTGTTGCACAGTTGGGAGTGCAAACCCCCCCTTTTTGAGTCTGGGTATTTTCCCAAGCTGCAAGATAAATTCTGATGGCCATGCCCCTCACCCATTTTCAGCTGGAGGGCGAAGGTGGTTTTGAGTTCTTACTGTCAATTATTTTACTATTTTTAAAAACTGGGACGTTGCATCCAGTATGAGGATTTGTAACCACATTTGATGTTCTGTTGCTTCTTGCCCCTTCATTATTATTTTTTTAAAAGATCATCTTGTTTCTGGTCCTTAGGATTATAGAGGTCACTCCTAAGTGTGACCTGGTGTAGACTGATCCTGCAGGTTAGATGGAAGGGTTAGCACGAAGCCAGTGTCTCAGTCAGAACCTTAGGGGCCTTTCTCATTTTTTGTAGCATTTTACCCACCTTGGTTCTCCATGAGACTGAAGAGGAAGCCACATAGACTTGGCACCATTGTCTTTTTGCTAGCAGAGGAATAAAGTTAACCTTGGACAGAAGGTGATCTGCTGAAGGTGGCAATGAGGAATGCCAAAAGAGAAAATGTGGAAAGCCAAACCCTCTCCGTAGCTGAATATTTCACCCCACTATTAAAATAGATGGTGCTCAGTTATTTTTCTTCTGGGTGGTTGAAATTCTGTATTAAGTTGGTTTCTCTCTGGTTTTCATTTGGGCTGTTATAACTTCTGAGCAACAGCTCCCACTTTAAAATGAATGGGGAAATGTACTTTTGCTCAGCAAGTTTTATAAAAAATGTGTGGTGATGGGGAGGTATCAATAAGTTATGAGAGGTACTTTTAAATGGCTGTACAGCTTCCACCATCCAAAGGCAGCGGCACCTGTTGTTTGTGAAAAAACAACTGTTGGAGATAGCTGAATATTTGCACCATAGAAGTGTCCTAAATTAACCTGCCTCTGTTGCTCTCCTTTACTAATTGGTTCTTGGGAGTATAGCGATGTTGACTCTCTTTATAAACAGAAGGGAGGAATATGATCCAAAGGTCTCTTAATCATCCCTCTTTTTTTAGTCTCCTGCATAGTCCTGGGGTTGCTTGGATGGGTTGAGATATAGGTACTTAAATGCTGGCATGGAGAGAGAAGAGTCTGAATTTATTATCCCGTTAGTGTTTATAAGCCATCGGAATTACGTTCTGTCATTATTTGATCCTATTCTCTTCCCCCCCATCCCACCCCAAAATCCCACCCTTGGAATCCTGTGTTGATTTGGTCTTTTTCCATGGTCCTGAGGATCTGTACAATAAATGCCACCACTTGGAATAAACCTGTGAATAAGCTACCTGATCTACAAGACCTGACTTTTTCTAAAGGGTATGTGTGGTAGATTTATGGTAGTTTTCTGGTTATCTTTCCTGGAACAGATTGTTTTGGGAAACTGCAAAACATGTGGAGGCTTTCAAGGAAATTGTAGTTGTCTGTTCACAATGGTGCTAGAATCAGCAAAGCCTTCTATCAGAATATGGTACCTTTCAGCCAGGAGTTGCCTTTGTTTAGCTCAACTCCTTATTTTGTGGATTTTCTCCCCCACCCCCACGTGCTTCTCAAGATCATGTACCTATTTGGGTTGCATCTATCTAGTTCTGTTCTTATTGTTTCCATCCAACTTTTTTGAACGTGATTTTTTCAACAGAAATCCTGCAGATGTGGTAACTCTTCAAGAAGTGTGATAGGCATGCTTGCTGAAACAGCCCACCGGGACCTCAGGTTGTGCTTTCATAACCAGCTCCTAATTTATTTTACAAGTTACCTGCTATTCAGTTGCTGTTGTTCTGTTCTCAATGTTTTTCTTCCCTTTTGACTTCATATGAGTATCACTGGAAACATACGACAAAAGAAAAGCAGACTGTTATCTCTGTAACTGGCCTTCTAGGTACTCCAGTACCTATTTCAGGGATAGTTGGGGTAGGGGCACAGCTTTTCAAGCAAAAATATTTTTGTAGTGTAGATGAAAGTGTTCCTTGCTTAATTTTTTTTTAAGTGATGGATGCTGCCTCTGAAAGGAATTTACTTAGTTTGGACGGACACCCCCCCCCCGTGGTCTTAACCATACTGGACCCCTTTTATATGTTTTGCTACTGCTGTTCTCTCTGTGATGGAAGGGGGTGGAGAGAGGCTTTAGATAAGACGCCTCCAAGCTCTATAATTTCTGGACTAATTTCTGTTCTTGAAGCTTACTGACTCCTGCAAAAGTAGCAAGGGGTGAAGCTTGGGTGTGTGTATCAATCAAACACCCCTCCTGCTGATTTTCCCTTCCCTATCTGGCAAATGCAAATTTGGGGAAATCATGTGTTTGCTGCATCATTTGTAGTTCAAATCTGCAGCAGCTGCAAAATAATTGCAATGGTTAGGATAAGGCAAGCCTAGGATGAGCTAATTCCTGAGGGTAGGCACTCCTTAGAAGGCTAACAAATGGATAGGAATATGACTGGAGGCTGCAGAGGAGAGGGGCCAGGCACCTCGTGAATGGGAGACACTGCATAGCTATTCATGCCATCCTTACAACAAGGAGGGCTATATTTTAGAAGGGATTTGAGATTTTCAGAAATTCAAACATTCTCAGGATGCACGGTAAAAGCATTCCATGCCTGTGCAGATGCCTCCTAACACCTTCAAATTATTTGTGGGCCTAATACTGTGGTTAAATGGGCCTGTTCTTGAAATCAGTCCCGTTGCCTTTAGCCAAACTCCTGACCTGCACTTTTGTTTATATGAAAGAAGACCTTTTGTTTTTCCTGAACGTGATTTTTATTAGGCTGAAAAGGCTTCTCTTAAAGATGCCTAAAAATGCAACATTTGAAAATGGACAATAGTCTACTTTTTTCACAAGTCACAAAAATACTGGAATGTTAGATCCCAGTTAACAGAGTGTTTATCATTAGGTGGGAGCAATCAGCTGTCTGAATGTCCCACAGACTTGGCAAAAAAATAATAATTGTGAATGTTGTGTCCACACGAAGATTAAACTTAAAAGTGGTTCACTCCATTTATTTTTTACAGGTTCTTTTATCTGTCTTGCATCAGGACTTCTTAGCAGCTTCCTTTTCTCTCCACAAGCTAGGAAAGGGAATGGTGTTAGGTAGGTGGTGGCTGTAGGTACTGCAGTTGCAACTGAGGCCAAGAGCATCCCTTGGATTCAGCCCAGTCAGGTTGTTGGTTGAACGGTAGCACTAAGAAGGAGACTGCAAGCAGTGCAATGAATGCAGGGAGCCCTAGAAGAACCAGATTCCAAAGGATGTGCAGTAAGAGGCAGCTGGATGAGACCAGAAACCTGTGTGGAGAGAGGACATTGTGCTGTTCTTATTCCTGTGGGATAATTTCATCCCACCAACTTCAACAAACCCGTTCCAAGTTAACAAGTTTGGGAGGGGGTGGTGATAAGGAGACAAAAGCAAAGAGGAGAAACAGCCATTGGGGAGAGTTGGGAAAGTTGATGGAAGCAGTTGTGGTTTTCAGATAAGGCAGCAGAATCTCCAAAGAACAGCAAGGTGGAGCAGGGTGTGCAACATTGAACCTTGTATTGTAGACTGCACCTATTTTACTGTGGCCACCTGGGAACAGGGTAGTAAAAAGTGTGAAACACTAACACTGCCAGGAATGTAAGAACAATTATGTGCAGCTTTCTCTCTGCGGGAGACCATGCAGTGTTTATGTGAGGGCCACTGGAGGGTGTTCCCCACCTGGACGTGTCTTGTTTTACCATCACTGGTGGGGGGGACAAAGACTCCAGAACAAGTTGTGAGAATCCACCCACTATGACCTCACCCTTGCTTGGACCATGCATAACAGGAGCAAAGGGGGAGGAACTCCCCCTGCCAAGGGAAGTTGTGGAGACCAAGCAGCAAACTTCAGCACTGGACAGGAGGTGTCAGGTACTGCAGCCCATGTTGGTATAGTTGCCTTCTTGTGTTGTCAGTTACTGAGATTCTTGTTAGGAAGTAGGTAGTGCATTTCATTTCTCCATGTCTTTTTAGAGAGAAGTTCAAAAAGCTATGTCACTTAGTGACAGACGTTTGGCAGGCCATTGGACAACTACCACTAAGCCCCTAAGTCAGAGATTTCCAAACTGTGTGTCGTGACACATTTAGTGTGTCAGCTGCAATGTGCAGGTGTGTTGCGTGAACGCTCCCCACACTCCTCCAGGGCTGGAAAGGGGTTAGTTTAACCTCTGGTTTGCTAGTAAAACTGAATGACTGTGTTGCAAAATGATGCATGACTTTAAAAGTGTGTCACCAACAAGTTTGGAAAGCTCTGCCCTAAGCTGCTGGGGAAGTCTGCCAGTATCAAAAGCGTCCCAGGAGGAAGTCTGCTACCCCAGAGAATAGAACAGTGGCTAAGTCACAGAGTTTGATGGAGCTGGTGTTGAGCAGATAGTCTATGGCTTGGAGACCCCAGGTCTCAATGCCATCTGCCACTCCAGAGCTTTCCCCCAAAGAGCTCACAGGCATGAGGCTCTAGTACTTCATTCCTAAAGACTGGGGTGGCAGAAGTCAATAAGACGGCCATCTTCTGGACAGACAAGGCATAAACTCTGCCTGCCCAGTAGAAGTTTACTCCCACCAGAGGAACACTTTCTAAATAATTTGATTTTCTGAATCAAAGGCTAGAAGGGAAGCAAAAAGGAGTGGCCAAGATGTGCTTGGGAACTGAGTAGATTAAATGTGCACTAAGAAGAATGGGAAAACTTAACAAAAGTTAGAGCAGATAAATACCCCACACCACTTGGATGGATTCAGACTCTGGTTTATAAATTTTTAAATAAACAAATTAGAATACAGGCTTTTTTCTACTCCAGCTGTGTGCAGTGAGGAATCCCAAAGTGACACTACTGCAGGACTTAAGAGAGAAATGAGCAGGAACCTGGATGTGTGCATGGAGCTGGAGTGCATGTTAACCTATCTAGCTTTGGATGTTACCCAAGTGGGACTGTGCAGATTTAGAGCGCATATTGGGACTGTCCAGAGAACATGAAGAAGGGTGAATGGGCCAGCTGCACACTTTGTGTCCCTTAATTTCTATACCAACAGGCAACTACAGTATAGCAACCAACTGCCTGGGAACCCTTAGTCCTAAATTCAAATATGTGGGGCTAAGCATGGTTACTCAGTAGTGGAGGAAAGGCACCCTACTTGGGTCTAAAAGTGATCCCCTTTTTAGTATTCACAACACCCACAGTGTATGTGGTCACAATACATTGACAGTGTCTTCTGCAGCTGAATTCTAGCTCTGCGTCAATCTAGACAGCAGCTGTAAGAAATCTGCTAAAGGTGAGGGATGGACATGGGAAGGAAGGGAATCTACTTAAAGGTGAAATGCTCTATATGGCCACATAACCCGATATGGCAGGAAAGTTTTTCCACAGCATAAATCTTACAAAGGAGTTCAAACAGTGAGGCACAAATCACATTCTTGTCAAAACTGTCTGTGACAACTGCAGTAGTTCCTGACCTTTGAAGCAGGATTTCAAACAAGTTTTCATCTGACTTCTCCCTAACAGTTGGGATTAGCTCGCCACACACTGGGACTAAGGCTTGTTCCTGAGAGGCTGTTGCAGAATCTCTGAAGAGCCAAGCACATTAAAACACCTCATATGTCAAAATACTTCATTTGGAACATTTGTTTCCAGTCATTTGTTGAACCACAGAAGCATATGCATAAGTTTAATAATTCATCTCATCCTGAACATGGTGCTTTAATTTGATTTCACCACTATGCATCTGGTATTAACAGCAACTGTACACTGGAGAGGATTACAGTCAGGGATTTGGGCAGCAAGGCATATTCTTTCTATTTTTCCTTACAATTAGGGCTAATCCAGGAACAGGCTTGTGCCTATATCCCAGCTTCAGACCGTCCTTGAAACAGTGCAAGAAACCAACTGTTCCTGGAGCATATGCTATATAAGTCATTTTCAGTTTCATATTACTTTCTAGACTGACCTATTTGAAATTGATTCTTTAAACCTTCTGTGTGGGAGATTATGCTCATGTTTTGCTGATTAGAAACATGATTACAAAGTGTAGTATGATACAGTGCCCTCCTAAAAACAAGCTGTTTGTTGCTCATCCATTGTACTTCAAGTAGACCACCTCATCTTGCCTTATGGTAGGGGCCAACATGCACACTTACAATTCTGCTGAGCTGAGCGGTGTGGTTTCTGGAAAGGTAGAATACACAGCCTTGGGGAAAACAAAATTAATTGGTATGATGAATATGTTTTTTAATGCAAATTAAACAAATTATACCTACATACTAGCCTTATTATTTCTCTCCTGTCTGAGAGTCTGTTACTCTGCAGTGCGTTTGATACACCAAATGACTCCTTGTGACATTTGAAAGTTTTAATTCTCCACAATGCTTTTAAGAAATATGTTCCACAAAGCAATTCGAAAAGGAACAAAATCCTGCCAGAACAGCAGGTACAAATGCTGTACCTAGTCTATGTGCAACCTTCCCCCCCCCCCAACAATTTTACACAGCCTTGAACGTGCTTTTCACAATATGCAAAGTCATCATGCAATTGCAACACATCAAATGCTCTGTAGCTAACTATGTAGATGAAATCAAACTCTTTTTGAGAATATTAACAAACATTCCTATGGAAAGTTGTCATGGAAAAGAAAGGCTTCTTTAGCAAACATATCACCTGAAGTGCATTTCCTATCCTTATCCCTAAAACAGACTTCTTATAAAATGTAAGTAATTTGCAGTTGTAAGTAACATTCCAGTTATATCCAGGATCACTTCCAGTATCTTACAATTTCTTGCTCTTTATCTTTCAGTAGTGGTGGGGAGCCTGTGGCCCTGTAGTTGTTAGTGGACTTCAGCTCCCATAATCTCTTACTCGCTAGGGTTGATGGGAGTTTGGGGTCCAGCAACTCTAGAGGGCCACGAGTTCCCCATTCCTGCCCTGCAGCTTCTTCCTTGGTTCTTTCATCCTGCTTCCCCCTTTGGCCCTCCAGATGTTTTGGGACTACAACTCCCATGATCCCTAGCTAACAGGACCAGTGGCCAGGGATGATGGGAATTGTAGTCTCAAAACATCTGGAGGGCCGAGTTTGCCTATGCCTGTACTACAGCTTAGTCCCCAAACCCAAATGGTAGGTACAATCTCTTCCCATTGCTACTTTTGTTTTTTTTAAAAAAAATATTTTTTATTGCTTTTTTCCAAGGTCAGATACATCATCAATAACTCAGCAAAAGCGGTTTTACAGAATAAGAAAAGAAGAAGATAGAAGAAAGAAAATTCACATTTTCAAACATTTTTTCATAATCCACTGGACTTCCCCACATCCTCCGCACCCTGCATTCTTTGTAATAAAAAAAATAAAAAAATATTACAGCAAATTGATACCTTGTTTCATGCGTTTTTGTACTTTCATCTAATTATATTTTAGATTTAGAGTACGTATTATTGGCTAACTTCTTTCCATCCTCAATCCCAAAAATAGGAACGTTGCTCTAAAATTTGAACTTTTCACGGTCATAACTTAATTTCCACCATTTTCAAATCTCAATACTGAAGCATGTTTTTCCAAAAACTTAGCAAATTCTCAACATTCATATAACTTATAATGTTTTTGTAGATAGTCCTTAAATTTTTTCCAGTCCTCTTCCACTGCCTCTTCTCCCAGGTCCCGGATTCTGCCAGTCATTTCGGCCAATTCCATGTAGTCCATCAGTTGCGTATGCCACTCTTCCAGCGTGGGTAACTCCTGTGCCTTCCAGTATTTAGCTATAAGGATTCTTGCTGCAGTGGTTGCATATAAAAAAAAAGTTCTATCCTTCTTTGACACTCTCTGGCCCACAATGCCCAGGAGGAAGGCTTCTGGTTTCTTGTGAAAGGTATACTTAAATACCTTTTTCAACTCATTATAAATCATTTCCCAAAAAGCCTTCACCTTCGGGCATGTCCACCAGAGGTGAAAGACTGTTCCTTCAGCCTCCTTGCATTTCCAACATTTATTATCAGACAGATGATATATCTTTGCAAGTTTGACTGGGGTCATGTACCACCTGTATATCATTTTCATAATGTTTTCTTTCAGGGCAGTACATGCCGTGAATTTCATACCGGTGGTCCATAACCTTTCCCAGTCTTCAAACATAATGTTGTGCCCAATGTCTTGTGCCCATTTTATCATGGCTGATTTAACCGTCTCATCCTGTGTGTTCCATTTAAGCAACAAGTTATACATTCTTGAAAGCACTTTCGTCTTAGGTTCAAGTAGTTCTGTCTCTAATTTCGATTTCTCCACCTGGAAGCCAATTTTTTTGTCCTTTTTAAAAGTTTCTTGTATTTGGGCATAATGTAGCCAGTCTCGCACCTTGTCTTTTAATTTTTCTAAACTCTTCAACTTCCAATTGTCTCCAACTCTTTCTATTATCTCACAATATTTTGCCCAGCCACCCTCCATGTTGAGTATTTTTGAGGCCTTAGCCTCCATTGGTGATAGCCACCTCGGAGTCTTATTTTCAAGTAAGTCTTTATATTTGATCCAGACATTAAACAAAGCTTTCCTGACAATATGGTTTTTAAACAGTTTATGAACCTTTACCTTGTCGTACCACAAATATGCATGCCACCCAAACGCATTGTTAAACCCTTCCAGATCTAGGACATCAGTGTTTTCTAATAAGAACCAATCCTTCATCCAGCAGAAGGACGCAGCTTCATAATATAACCTTAAGTCCGGCAGGGCAAATCCCCCTCTTTCTTTTGCATCTGTTAGTATTTTAAATTTTATCCGGGGCTTTTTGCCCTGCCAGACAAACTTCATGATGTCCTTCTGCCACTTTCCAAAACATTCCACTCTGTCCACGATCTGCAGGGTTTGGAACAAAAACAACATCTTTGGCAATACATTCATCTTTACAGCTGCAATTCTTCCCAACAAGGAAAGTTTCAATCTCGACCAAGTTTCTAAGTCCTTTTTAATTTCAGACCAACATTTTTCATAATTATCTTTAAACAAATTCAAATTTTTCCCAGTCAGATTGACCCCCAGGTACTTCACTTTTTTGACCACATTTAATTCCGTTTCCTTCTGAAACCCCTCTATTTCTGAAAAAGTCAAGTTTTTTGCCAAGACCTTAGTTTTTTGTTTGTTTAGCTTGAATCCCGCCACCCGACCAAACTCATAGATTAATTCTAAAACTCTTTTTGTGCTAGGTTCTGGCTCCTGCAATGTTAAAACCAAATCATCTGCAAAGGCTTTCAGTTTATATTGTTTTCCTCCGACCTGTATTCCTTCCACCAGCTGATCCCTCCTAATCAAGTTCAACAGCACCTCCAGGACAGAGATAAATAACAAGGGTGATAAGGGGCACCCCTGTCGTGTCCCTTTTTCAATTTTGAACTCCTCTGTCACCACATTGTTCACTATCAATTTAGCCTTTTGTTCTGAATAGATTGCTTCAATCCCATTTTGGAACGCCCTTCCCACACCCATCCCTTCCAAATTTTTCTTCATAAATCTCCAAGATATATTGTCAAAGGCCTTCTCGGCATCTATGAAAATCAAAACTGCTTTCGTATTCAAATTTGTCTGCAGTAACTCCAAAACATCAATAATATTCCTGGTGTTGTCAGACAAATGTCTACCAGGGAGAAAGCCTGCTTGGTCTTTATGAATTACTTCATTTAGAACTTTTTTAAATCTACTTGCCAAAATATCAGCAAAAATTTTGTAATCCACGTTTAGGAGTGAGATGGGACGGTAGTTCTTGAGTTGAGTCTTTTCAGATTCCAATTTTGGTATCAAAGTGATGAAAGCTTCTTTCCACGATTCTGGTGCCCCCTTCCCTTCCATAATTTGGTTGCATACCTCCATTAACGGCTGGATCAAATAGTCCTTCAATGTCTTATAATATTTGGAAGTAAGTCCATCTGGGCCTGGGGATTTGCCTAATTGCATATTCTGAATGGCACTTTCAATTTCCTGTTGTGTTATTCTGTAATTCAGGATTGTTTGTTTATCTTGAGATAATTTCTGCAAGCCATGACTTTTTATAAATTGGTTTATCTCAATCTCTGCTTGAGGTCCTTGAGTAAACAGTTTTTTAAAATATCTCTGGAAGCACTTTCTAATTTCTTCTGGTTTCTGAATACATTCTCCTTCGACCTCCAGATTGGTAACAAAGTTCAGCTTTTGCCTCTTTTTCAGCTGCCACGCCAGCAGCTTCCCACATTTATTTGCCGATTCGAATGATCTTTGTTTCATCTGCTTGATTTTCCATTCAACTTCTTGATTAATCAATTTCGCATATTGTGCCTGATGGAATTTTATTTCTCTTAAAACTTCTTTTGATTTTGGATTAAGTCTCAACTTTTTCTCTCCATCTCTTATCTTCTCCAAAATCTTATCCTTTTTACCATTCCAGAGTTTTTTCTTAATAGTATTCTGTTGTATCAGAAACCCTCTCATCACTGCTTTGCTCGCGTCCCAGATTGTTTTCTTTTCCACCAAAGTGTTCAAATTTATTTCGAAGTAATCCTTCAGCGTTTTTTGGGCCTTCTTCACAATCTCCTGATCTCTAAACAAGGTGTCATTCATTCTCCATCTGAAGGATCCAGCTGGTGTAAGTCTCAAATCCATTTTCAGGGCGTTATGGTCGGAGCAGGTTTTGGGGCAGATCTCTATTTTTTTTGTCTTAGGTGCCAGTCCTCTAGATCAGTGTTTCCCAACCGGTGTTCCGCGGCACACTAGTGTGCCGCGAGACGTTGCCTGGTGTGCCGCGAGATGTTGCCTGGAGGGAGGCGGGCGAGTCAGGCGGCGAGAGGCGGGGCGGCGGCGGTGAGAGGCCGCCCAGCGCGGGGCTCTCGCCGTCTGCCTGCCTGGCTGCCTGCGTGGCGCTGACGTCACGGGGCTGTAACGTGCCCCACATAGGCACACGCGGGGCGGCGAGCGAGCTCCCTCCCACATCCCATCGCCGCTCGCTTCGGCCAGCCTACTGGGCTGTCGCAGGCGGAAGGCCTGCGCATGCGCGAGGTTTTCGCGCCTTCAGGATTCCCTTCACGCCTTCCTCCTCCCGGGTCCTTGAGAGCGCGGGAAGCGGCAGCGCGAGACCGGCGTTGAGCCTGGTAGGTATTGCGCTTGCCAAGGCAGTCATTTGGGAAATGAAAACTTGCAAAGCAAGCAACCAGTTCAATCTGAAGTACGTGTATGCTTAATATCCT